GTGGGAAGCTCGATCAGATTTTGCCTCGCATTTGTCCTTTCTTTTTCTGCCTCCTATCTCTGCCAGTCAGCCATATTTTATTCTTTACAATATCCGCAATGTAACTTATTGATTTGCTTCCTGCTGTTGGCCGTTTCTTTTTTAAAAAAAACACATTCAACCTGGGGACTGAAGTTTGTAAACGATGTAGATTTAGACTAATATACTAACTTGAGATCTAAAGGTATGATGAGAACATTAATTAGTAATGTCGGCCCGTTTCTGCTGAACAATTCAAATATAGCTGATAGTATACATTAGGAAAATGATTCGTTATAAAAACGTACCAAGTAGTGTATTCATGTCACAACCGGCAGTTTGGAATTCAAAGACTGAGTAAAGCACTCAGGCATTGCAGTTGTAGTTTACGGAGTTAGCTGATTCCCTTGCGTGCAGCACTCCTTTGCAAAAAGCTCCCAGCCACAGCTCATTCCCTGACAATTATTTTAGCATTCTTTTCACATAACGACTGTGAGGTGACTTTTGTCCAATTATTATTAGGGCTTTTGAAAATCCTTATTTTTTTTTAAGGAATTATTACCTCTGAAAAACAATACGCCAATCGACTAACTACCGGTTTCTAGGTACAGAGAGGCGTGTGGAGTAAAGAAACTTGCCTGAGGTCTCGCCCTGCCCGGGAATCGAACCCAGGTCCTCTCGCTTGCGAGACAAGGGGCTATCCCCTATACTATGAGATTCCACAATGCAGGAAAGTAAATTATTCAGATTGGCTTATTTCAGCAATTTCCAATTTAGCTTTGATAGAATAAATGGTTGGTGTCAAATTGGGAATATCCTCTTGCTTGGGATTGTTGACTATTATTCTAAATATTGAAATCAGTCATTATCTAGATTGCAATGAACAAGAATTGAAACTGAAATTAAATTGCCGATCATAGACTGCAGATAGATATTAATCCCTTGCACCAGGCTGTTAGATCACTTTAGCTGTAGTGCACATTATTTAGAATCTACTTTCTCTATGACATTAACAATCTGTTCAAGAGGAGATTAAAGAAAAGAAACACTGTGAAACCTGTTGAGAACGAAGGTTGTTTTTTGTCGATTGTAAAAACAATTTTACAGGTTTATTTGATGATTCAGTGGGTAAATGGAGGAATGACATTAACCCGATACCAATGTCGTAGGATTATCTTCCGCACCCTCCCTTTCTCCCTTTGCTAGAAATGTTGTGGAAGAATGGATGAAGACAGGATTGCATGATTCATACATAAAAAACATCCACTTTAGTGAGGCACAGGAGGATTGCTGGTGCTTGTAGAATCAAGTGTTGCAGTAATTATCACCTTCAGGAGAGGAGAACATTTGGAAAGAAGACATTTTTTACCAATGTGTAGTTAGTAAAGTGAAGTGTTTTCATAAGAACTATTTCTTTCAAATTATTTCAATGCATTTTTGTGATGTGCTACGCTCTCGGGATTGCAGTGTCAAAGCAATAATTCAAGTCGCTATAAGATAATACAGATTTCCATTGCATATTTGGCGGTGAGAAAATGAAAATCTACATTGACGTGCTTCTCCATTCAGCAAAAGCCACTTCATTTGTGGAGTACATATGACTGGTTAAATAATTCAAGTATATGAAGCCGTTTGCATACTCCAAAGTCACTCACAATGTCTAGCTGGTGCTCCACAAGCATGCATAATGGAATGTATTTGGTTTTAAATTAATTGTGTCAGGGAAATCAAGCAGGCATACATGTTACTGCTCTGTGAGTAAATATGCTGTGTATCTGTATGTGAGGCTATTATATGGCATTATTTTAGTTTAATCAACCTATATGCACAGCACTTAACTACTTAATTTAATTCACTGCCAAATATGCAATATAAACCGGGTTCAGCTAATGTAAACCACACTGGCACCCTGCTCCTCACACCATCTGGAAGATGGAATTTGGGAAATGGGACAACTTAACAGCGAGAGCAAATCCAGACAGGCTTCCCCCCCCACACACACACACACCCCTTTCCCAGATGTTTTCAGAGTTCTTGGGGCTGCAGCAGCAGTTAAAGCATTTTACTTGGTTTTGCCTATTCTACTGGCATTCTTTAAAGAAGTAACAAAACTGGTGCATGAGAGATATCCAGAGGATGATGAATAGAAAAAGATCCGCTGAGGCAGTGACCAGTAGATTTGGGTGGAGTTTTGTGTACGGGGGCAGAGTTTCGGTGGGTGCGGAGTTTGGTGGGGGGTTTGCAAAATGTTGGCGGACAGATCATTGGTGGACCAGGGGTTGTGGCTAGAGGAGGAAGCCATTCGCGGAGAAATGTATGACACATGAGGAATCGCTCACCTCTTTAAGTCAGAAGATAGTGGGTTCAAGCCCCACACTGGGACTTGGAACTCATACAGTCTAAGGTGACACTTCAATGCAGTGCTGGAGTGTGCTGCAATGTTGGAGATGTATCCTTCAGGTGAGACATTAAACCGAGGTCCCATCTGCCTGTTCAGGCGGATGTGAACAATCCCATGGCACTATTTTTGAAAAGAGAAGGGAGTTTCTCCCAGTGTTCTTGTCAATAATCCCCCAAATAAAGTTGGTAACTCACTCCATTTGTGGGACATTGCTGTACACAAATTGGCTGCTGCAAGGGATGGGCTTCCTCATGTGTCAGACACCTGGCTGACCAAAACAAAATTGAGAAGTACGTGAGTTGCCTGATTTGACCGGCCTTCCAATTTAATATTTTCATCTTTGAAACTTTGAAAATTAGTAAGAAAGGGACTTACATTTTAGTTTAAGGATTATTTGGAGCTAGGTATATTATGTAATTAATCTGTTAAGCGGATTTCCTGTGATGGTGAAAATGAGGAATTTAATGATAGGGAAGAGCACACGTTTCCATGCTTTGGGAGAAAATAAGCATTCATCAAGTGTAACATACATTTGATGCCAAGTAAAATTCTCTGCAGCTTCAAAGAGGCATTTTCACTATAATGTCAGAAGAACACCCTTTGAAGTTAATCATTCTGTTAAAGCATGCTTACCATAATGCCAATGACTGTTTGCTCCTTGTCACTATCATTTTAGCTTTGCCTTGCAAAGTGATAACATAACATGTAGGAGCAGGAGTAGGCCATTCGGCCCTTCGAGCCTGCCCCGCCATTCAATCGTGGCTGATCTTCTAATCTAACTCCAGCTAATAACTTAACCCTGCCTTATCCCCATATCCCTTAATACCTTTTGCAATAAGAAACCTATCTATCTCAGTCTTGAATATGTTCAAGGACTGAGGGTCAACAGCCCTTTGGGGTAGTGAGTTCCATACATTCACCTCCGTTTGAGTGAAGAAGTTCTTCCTCAACTCAGTGCGAAAGGGCTGCCTCTGATTTTAAGGTTGTGACCCCTGGTTTTAGTTTCTCCAACCAGGGGAAACAATCTCCCACTATCTACTCTTATCATGCCCTTTGATGATCTTATAGGTTTCTATAAAATCCCCTCTAATTTTCTATATTCTAGAGAATATAGGCCCAAATTGGTCAGCCTATCCTCGTAACTCATCCCCTTCATCCCTGGTACTAACCGAGTAAATCTACACTGCACCCCTCCGAGGCAAGTACATCCTTCCTTAAATGTGGAGACCAAAACTGGACACAGTATTCCAGGTGTGGTCTCACCAGGGCCCTATACAGTTGCAGCAAGACTTCCCTAATCTTATACTCTAATACTTTCATAATGAATCCTAACATACCATTCGCCTTCCTAATTACTTGCTGCATCTGCAGACTAACTTTCTGTGATTGGTGTACAAGGAGCACCCGAGTCCCTCTGGACGCTAACACATTCCAGTCTCTCCCCTTCCAAAAAATAACCCGCTCTACTGTTTTTGCTACCTAGGTGGATGACTTTGCACTTCCCTACATTATACTTCATCTGCCACCTACCTGCCCAATCACCTAACCTATGTATGTCTTGCTGCATTTTTTTTAATGTCTTTTTCCCAGTAGCAATCCATTCCACCGTTTAGAGAGGCTAATAATCTTCATGCTTATGGCATGCATGTCTTCATATTATGGTTGTTTTGCTCTGTCACTGCATCTAAGCCATTGATTTTCAGTAGTTCAATACTTGTCACTGTTCTTCCAGCTGATATTCAGTGCCCTTGCACAAAACATTGTGCACGGAGCCATCCTTTACAGGCTCCTCTCAGTATCACAATGACATGTGAAATGCAGATGAACTTCTCACATTTTTTCCTTCTGTTCTTGTGGTATTTACTGCACAGTGTGGCATTTTCTTTTCTTATCAGCCATATTTGTGGTCTCTCTGAGAGAGGGGCACAATGTAAATTTATTGCACAGTCTAGAATTATGTTTTATTTCTGATCACCTTTCAGCATTTAAATTCCTTTGTTGCATTTTATCCATGGAAGATGAGGGCCAGCCCGCCGCCATGCTGGTTGGGAGGGTGTGGATGGGGCCTGGCGGTGGAAGGTGTAGCCAGGCGGGGAGGCTTCAGTGAGTGTGGGCAGAATCCCAGGGACAGCCAGGTTTCCATGAGCCCAGGAATGACTGTGCTCGTCCAGGAACTGAGTGGAAAGAATCCCTGCCTGCAGTGTCGTAAACTGCATTGATAGTTTTTCTCTTTGAATAATTTTCTCCCTACTCCCCTCTTTCTTATCCCTCCCTTTTCATCCATCTTTCACTCAGTTTGCATGCCTACTTTTTCCTGAGTTTCTCCCTTGTTCCCTTGCATTTCGTTCCAAATAACATCTGATTAGGTAAGGTACCAGGGCTGTCTGCCCATCGCATCACAGACATTGCTCACACACTCCTGACATGCTTTGCCAAGGTTGAGTACTCGTCCTCAACGTTCTGTCGTTTAAAAGCCTCCTGTACAGTGCAGCAGGCGTGTCTTAGATTTTTTTTTGATTTTTTTGCTTTATCAAATTAATGGATTTTTTTTTTCTCCCTCCTCCCCTCACAATCTTTACAGCTTCCTGCAGATCTTTCCAAGATGCACCTCACAGACAATCTACATTCACAGGGTAAACATGTGCCTTCCAGCCAGTCCGGGTGCAGTTTTGCCAGTGACTCTGGGAGCAGCAGCCTGTCGGATATCTATCAGGTAAAGTTACAAAGAGTAGAAACACGATCATTTATTTTTTGTAATTAGTCACACAAACCCTCAAAAAAAAAATTGGACCTCTGACAGACTTTGCAAGTGCCAACATAGACTTTATTCTTGTAATGTGTTGTGTCTGCTAGTCAGGAAACCCTTTGCAAATGAGCGTTCAAGCTTAACTAGTATGTTATATATATATATATATATAATTAGCTTGTCTGTTTATTAAAAAACAGTCAAGCAGAATTACTGAATTGCCTTTTTGTCTTTAAACATTTTTTCTGTAATCCTAGCGATGTCTAAATCTGGCCATTTTGCAGCAGGGAATTGTGTGTTTATTTTCTTAGTGACGTCTAGATAGATTCCTTGGAAGAAAATAGTGTTGAGTCCAAATATACAAGGGAAGAGTGGAAAATTGCCAAGATATGGTAATTTTTAAGTTTTATTTTTTAAAAGTTATTCTTGGTTCATTTGATTCTTTCTTTCCTGTGCCCCGCCTTTTTAGTTTTGTTTTGAACCAAACAATAGGAAATATTTGACTTGAATTAAAATAACCAAGAATTTACATGACCCACAAAACATGAAGAGTTCACAAGACAATAGCCAGTGAAGTCGAACTCTCATCATGTGCATCGCATTGTCAACCTTGAATTTAAATACTTTTATCGCCCAGTCCTGGTGATTTGCTTACTGAAGAGGTACTCATTGAGAAGAAGAGCTGCTCATTGGGAACGTTGATGATGAGGAGTTTGGTATTTGCATTTGATTGGCACCTTGCAATATGCCGTGCAGGATAGCAGTATTTAAAAAAATAAACCATTTAGATGGTTATATTCTTAAAATGACCTGTTGTATTTCTGAAACCTGCTGGCCCCAGATTTGAAGCATTGATGAGTGGAAGAAAGAATTTTATTTTAAACGGACATTCAGAGGTGTTGGACTGGAATGCGCACTCTCTCCTTGGAGAGAATCATCCTGCTTACCTAATTGCGGAAAGTATTATGTGCAGGTTGACAGGATCCAAGGCTTTGGAAGCTCTCCCAATATCTTGCTTCCCCCTTCACCCTGGTGACGTCCCCAGCTTGACGGATGTATAGTAATGAGCTCTGGCTGCAACGTTTCTAAATCCAGCCCCAAACACCCCTTTCAAACTAAAAATAAACTACTTTTATGAAAGTGTAAAAAAAATTATAGTTTTAAACAAACCATATAATTGAGCCTAATACTACATGTTTACTACTTTAAGTGACCCTGTTGAGAAGCATTCTGAGCCCACTTGTCTATAAATTGTTTTTTTAATTATAATCTGTTCATTTATTGGGGAGCTGCAGGATAGGTAACCTGAAAGTAAGAACTTCCACTAGATTCAGGAACAAAAGAGACAACTTCAGCAACACATCAGACTCCTATAGAATGGTCTCTAAAAAGCTGCATACATTTGAGATTGTAAATGTTGATACGTCTTAAAAGTGCTTTCTGTGTTGATTTTTGCTGCATCAGTCACATAAACACTAATAAGCATGTGTTACGTTCTGACAGCTATTCCCACTACTTTAACAGTGCCTTGAGGTACGTACGGCTGTTATACACTGGAAATAGCGGAGGAATAAGACATCCAATTCCTTTCATTATCCAGTGTTTATTTTGGGGAACTAATCCAACCATTTTTGTATTTGATCTCCATATTCTGCTACAGTTCCCTAAATTCAGAATTGAGGGGGTGTATTTTATCCTATTCATTAAAAACGGAGTGTTTTGTAACAATATGTCAAATGCAAGGATTATTATTATATTATTATAATCCTGTTTGTGAGAATCCTTCGCCTCGCTCCCTCTCTTGCCTCCTTCAAGGCGCGTCTCAAAACCCTCCTCTTCGACCAAGCCTTCGGCCAACCTTCCTGCGCTCCACCCTCTCCGATCCTGACCCCAGGCTTGGGTCCAAATCCCTGACTATCCAGTGCCTCTGGGACATCCTCCCGACGTGAAAGGCACTATACAACTGTAATTTTGTATTGTATTGAGAGACACGCACTTCAAATTCCTATCTTATATTTTCCTGACCAATTTGCTATTGTGAATCATTAAAGTTTCGGGATCACTGCATTTGTTTTGACAAGCATTGTAGTTATAATTGGTGGAGTAAACGCCTTTGTTGGTTTTAAGTTCAGCATTGCTGTTTGTGAAGATTTCTAATTATGGATGTCTCAGATTGACTTCCTGTTGCTAAGGATGGCAGTGATGATATCAAGTTCCTCTCATCCTAGCTGTTTGCCTTTCCTAAAGGTTAAACAGGAAAAAAGAGCATCCTTTTGCCCTGTTGAGAAAGGAAGCAAGGGAAATTCAACTGTTTGGAAGTGAAAAGCGGGTGAGGGGCATCACAGAGCCAAGCATGTTGGTGGTGGTGGTGGTGGTGGTCGGGGGGGCGAAGGAATCAACAACATCTTGCATTTACATAGCTACCTTCGCGCCGGATGACATCCTGGAGTTCTTAAAATCACAGAGCAAAACCGGGGAGTGTCACACGGGAACACGGAAAATAGTTCTTTATCTGTCTGCAGAAAAGTAATGTTTTCAATGGATATATTTGTTGTTTCCAGGAGGGTCTATACGTTTCACCTTTCCGAACTGCCCAGCCTGTATGCAATGCCATCTCTGTGTGCTCCAGTCTGCCAGTAATTGTTCTCTAGTGCAGTGCAATTTCCTGTAATTGTGGAGAGTTAGCCTGCTCTTTCAGAGCAGTGTAAATGATGCAGAGTAGATTTCAGACTGTTTCCAATATTGATCTGAGACTTAATTATTAATGTAGCCATCCCTCATGTAAAGTAGGCATATGATTAAAAGTGGGGAGGAGGGTGTTTTTGCTGACGTTCACATGTTTAACAACTGCAGTCTCCGTTCTTTTATTATACTAGCTGACAATACAGGTCTGTTACCATACCTACCTTCTACGATAACATCTGATAAAAATACAGATTGCTTTCTAGCTGTATTTGCAGTTACAAAAAGATGCCTGTGTGCTATCAATAGCCAATATCAATGTTGCTTCGTTTTATGGTTTCTCTTGAATTAGGCCTCCCAGTTTCTGATGAATAGTGTTATGGACACATGCTCACTGGTTTCCCGAGACCATTTGAGGATAGTATTTAAAGACAGTTCTCTGTCTGCTGCAGCTCAGAATACTAACATAGTTCAACACCAGATGTTTTTAGTGACTTGTTTTACAATGTGGAGCTGATGTTTCATTCACAAATGCTGAGCAGAATCTATCATATCAGATCTAATCTGCTCCAGATTATTGTGCAAATAAATCTGATGATTTATCATTTTGAGGTGATAATTTTGTAATCCTTTATATGGTTAATATTATCAATACGGCGTCTGTTTAATGATGTAAGATCAATACACATATTGCTTGGAGAACAGATGGACATAATTGACTGCTGAAAAATGACTTCATACAAATAAAGTGATAATTTTACTGCTCGTGTAACATCAAAATTCCTTACATTTACATCAAGGGATTGTCTCAAAGTATTTCACAGGATACAAAGGTACTTGAAAAGGAAAGACTTGCAAGGATATGGGGAAAAAAACTGGGAAGTGGAACTGATTGAGTAGCTTCTCCAAAGAGCGGGTACAGGCACGATGGGCCGAATGGCCTTTTTCTGTGCTGTAATATTTTTCCTACTCCCACCATCCACAATCTCCGACTCATACAAAAAAAATTCTGTTTCTTGTATCTGCGGAAAACTCTGCACGCACATCGTCTCAGTTTTCATCAGGTTTCGCTGACTCCCTGGCTCCCAACGGGGGTTCAAATCCCATGGGGCTTGAACCCATCAACCTCTGACTCAGAAGCCTGACAGCTTGGCTGGAAGTGAGAGAGCTCCTACCATGAGAGGCCAGGCTGACATACATTCAATATGTATTTGATAATTTTAATTCACTGCTTTGATGTAGTGTTTCCTTCTCAGTGCAAATTTCATTTCAAGCTATTGTGTTAATACCATTAACACTTTGTGGTTCATAAAATCAGCATTTCGATTAGAATAAGGGAGGAAACCTATTCTTTTGTGAATTGTTAAAGATTTCAACTTTGTGTAAGGAGTTGTTCTTTACTACAGATTCCTATAAATAATATAGATTTTTTTGGTCAGCTGGGTCTCTTGACACATTCAGACACCCAACACTGTGCTTAATAGTATCCAAATCAAACTGAGAGTTCCATATATTCTACCTACACTTGAAAATTCAGTGTGCTTTGCGGGTACTTCTGGAGTCTAACCAGCTAAAACTGCATAGCTTGCCATTGAGAGCACTGTCTAGCAAGCTTTCCCACTGCTTGTCCAGCTTGGACCACCCTACCTGTTAGGACTTTGGCTTACAGAGTTAACAGCAGCTGAGTGGGAAGAATCTCTGTCCACCAGTGAGCCGTCTGCCCTTCCAAGTCCCTGCCAATGAGCCAGTTTGGCAGCGCTGTCATCACACATGTCACCTTATCCTCCCAGGAGGATTGTCACTAATTGGCCATTTGACATTCAACAAGCACAGGTTGGAGCTCTAACTGGATGGCAGGCAGGTACCAGGAACTCCCTGTGAGCATGAAATGCGTGAGAGCATTGCCACCAATCTTCCTGCCCATAGTTCGGACACACATCTCTTCCCATTGAGCAATCACTCCAGCAGTTGTAGGTGTGTAGCTTGAACAGCAGCTGCTTGCCTCTCTGCCAACCAATCAAGGTGGATTCCTTGCCCTGGATGTATGAAATATGTTATGTACTCAAGCTCCAGGTAGTTCCTTTGAGAAGCTGTCGCCCTGAGTCTTGAGTTTCCTCATCAGCTATCTGACAAGCCTGCCTTTAGCGTGGTGAGAGGATCTTTACAGGACAGCTTCCTTTACATAGTATTCTTTTGTCCACAGGCCACAGAGAGTGAAATGGGGGATGTAGATCTAACTGGACTCACAGAGACTGCAGTCGACTCGGAGGAAGAGGAGGAAGATGAAGAGGACATTGACCGAGCCTCTGATTCACTGATGGGGAGGGATGTTGTTCGCGAGTGTCTGGAGAAAGACCCTACAGACCGTACTGATGATGACATTGGTAAGATTTAACAAATCTCTTTCCATGCTGCATCCTCTGGCTCCAGGAACATTTCTCTGAATCAATGCCTTTGCGAGAATTGTTGTGCTGAATGAAGGTTAGACCTATACAAATTTACCGTGCAAACATTCCTACAGTAAAGCCACCATATTTACTCCTATCAGGCTACTTTGCCTCCCTCACGAAGCCAACCAACTAGGTGACGAGACAATAAAGTGATGATCTGTCATCAAAGTAGTCCGTAGCTAATGTGTATTAAGGTGTGAAGCAGTACTATGGATTTACAATGACAAGGAGCCAAAAAACTATCCTGCTGCTGTATATGAATCCATGCATTCATTATGAACTCTACAGCTCGTATCCTTTCCCATCCTATGTTTTGTGAGTCTATCACCCATTTCCTTGACAGGCTCCACTGACTCCCCATCCCCCAATGGATTGAGTAGTTGTTGAAGACAGGTTCGACTGTATGTTACCCAAGTTGCTGTTCTTTATTTATGAGGCTAGACTGTGGTTGCCTGTGGATATTCAAATATGGAGGGTAACACAGGCAAACTCAACCCAAAATACCACCTATGCCTAACTATTTTGACTTAAAATTTAAAATCATACAGATTTGTAGGAAAACCAAATTCAGTCTTAATTTGGATATTGGTTTTCCTTGACTCCTTAAAAGTGGTGGCTTTCAAATTAAAACTGAATTTAAGACTTTTCTGCAAATCTACATGATGCTAAATTTTAATACAACAAAAGGCTAAGACTAAGTGAAATTACAAGCATCCTGTCTTCACGCAAAGGTCACAGAAGGACGTTTTCCAATAAGGAACCCTCAATGAACATGTGATTCTACAGTAATAGTGTCTTTGTTACTTTAGCCTGTATTCTAGAGCCATTCTTGTGATATGCGGAGGCGTTTTTGCTGCAGAAGCAAATATTTCATTGTACTTCTATAAAGTTTTCAGACATTGGACGTGACGTTCCTTGGAGACCAAATGTTCTCTGATTGAGAGCAGACATTCCAGCCCCATCTCTGTCACAATACGCATTCTTCGTGATCACTCTTTGTGAAGTCTGAAAAAAATAGTTAGGTATTGCTGTAATGATTTTTGGTGTGTTCAGACAATTCAGAAGATTAATTTTTGTGCTGGAGTTTTTTTTTAAAACTTGCGATTTTAAGTGAGGGAAATCACTACAGAATATATTTGACATCAGTTGTCAACATATTGAACACCTGGATGAAGATTAAGGTTGTTCCTTCAGTTTCCCGGCAAAGAATTCCCAAATCAGATATGGCGGGGATGTAGAATAAGGCTCCTGCTGCACTTCTCCAAATCCCAGAAGAATACCTTTACTGGGGCATATTTTTCATTATTTATATCTTCTATATTATTAATATCTTCACTGCTCTGTCCTGACCATGTTATATTTCAAACAGTCACACTGACAGTTGCGTGCAACATCAACTTCTTTTACTTTGTAGCTCGGAGCCTTGCCGTCCAGTTGCCTAGAATGAACAGCAATTGAGTGTTGCCTTGAAATTATCCGACTTCACTCTTCTCTTTTAATATAGCCCTTCCATCACTTTGTTGACACATCTCAAAGTCCTTCACAGGATACACTGTAAAGTAGATTGACTTTATTTTGTGGGCAAAATGTGGCAGCCACTTTGCATACAGCAGTGTCCCACAAACAGCCACGGAGTGAGTGACCAATTTTAATTGGGGGGATTGTTGTCCAAGAGACCAGGAGAGGAAAACTTCCATCTCTTTTCGAATAGTGCTATGGGCAACTTAAACAGGTAGAAGGGTCCTCGGTTTAACATCTCATCCGAAGAACGGCGTCTCCGACAATGCAATACACCCCCAGCATTGCATTGGAGCTTAGACTTGGATTCTAAGTCCCGATGTGGGATTTGAACCCATCGCCTTCTGACGCAGAGGTAAGAACGCTACCACTGAAGCACGCTGACACACTAATATGTACTCTTGTAATGTCCAACACCAGTTGCAATTTGATTAAATTTACAATTGTGATTTAGAGCCGACTGGAGGAACAATGTTTAAATGTTAGACAAAGCCTAGAAACAGTGGTCTTATGTGGGTACTTACCCAAATACTCTGTTACCTAGCAACTACTTTGAAATTCAGCTTAACAATTTATTCGCACAGCATTTTATCGATCCTCACTGCATGTTCATTTTTCTTTTCTTTTTACAAATGAAATAAACAAAATTCACTATTTTAGAAGTACCATAATTGGGTGCGTGGGGACGATAGAAATTGAGGAACGTTTTATTTCAGAAAGAATGCTGTGCCCAATACATTATATTTACTAAATTCACACAGAATACATGTAGAGGATTTTATTTAGAAAGCTAATAAGCTTCCCTGACAGTTCAGGGCTTGGGGGTGATATTCAGATCCCATGTTTCATCCTTTAAACTGGTTGATTGTTGCAGAGTAACAGTAGAGGTTGTACAGAGAGTTGATGCACAGAACTTTCTCCCACTGGTTGTTGTCCAGTGATTCCTGGTGTAAAGTGAACATGTACTTGAGTAGATGTTAGATGTTTGATTCAGCTATGATGTCTCAGCTATTGTTATTATGAATAATAATAATAATCCTTGCACTTGATATAGCGCTTTTCACATCTTCTAGATGTCTCAAAGCGCTTCACAGAAGGCGAAGGCACTGTTGAATCGTATCTGAATTCCATCTGGTGTGCCCCTAGGGCAAGGTGCTGAAGAGCTGCTTGCACCTTTGAAGGGATGGAAGATGATTGAAGGGAACAGAGGAAGCAATTTTTTGCTTCTGCAAGCTTTAGCCTGATTCTGTCCATGGCAGGACCATTCATAATTTATAGACCTCCACCGTCCACATACTGTATGATAAAAGTATTTTCTGGAAGGTTAGCTGAATAAACAAAGACTTGAAAGCAGTAACATTAATCTTTCTTGCTCCCCACCAAACAACATGTGTTAAGCGTTAGGCTATAACCATCTTTGGCAGGTCCAACCTTTTCTAGAAATAAAGATCTCAAGCTCTAGGTTTGGCAAAACTTTAATGAAATTGGAAGTGGAGTACATTTGATTGTGGTGCAATCTAAATATCATAGGGAGTGACACCTGTACATAACCCATTATTATTATGTTTCCCAATCCTACCATCTTTGTGCTCTGGACACACTGCTTTGAAATGACCTAAGAGCATGTATTTGACATCCTGAATAAAGACGCCATGACGTTCTGTAGTGAAGTGGTTAGCAGACCAGGGTTCGATTCCTGGGTGGGGCGAAACCTTAGACAAGTTTCCTTGCTCCACACGCCTGTTTACCAAGCAATAAGAAGGAACCCGGTTGTTAGTCGATTGGCGGATCCCTTTCCGGGGATAATAATCCCTCAAAACAAACTCACTCAATCCACGACTGTGGGACACTTTTGTGCGCAATTGGCTGCTTCATTTTGGCCACAAATACACAGTCAATCCGCTTTACAATATATTCTGGAAGCACTTCTAGGACCCTTTGTGAGGGTCTCTATATAAATGCAAGTTTAGGGATAGGGAGAAATTATTTCTACTGCATTGTGAGTCAGTAACTCTGGTAGCTGGTATACAATATACTGTCAAATGAAAGAGCCAATGTCAATTGCTGTGGCGGACAGTGTGTTGATTCAGGGAGTTAAATCTGCAGCTGTCCTAATAATAAAACTCCCTAAACAGACAGTCATCCAATGCTTATTTAAAGGTTTAATCCTACATAGGTTTATACTGGGGTGAAAGATTTAAGCAGAGTTCCTCCAAAAGATCTAGTGAAATTAACTTGCATTTACAACAACAACTTGCATTTATATAGAGCCCCTCCCACAGGGTAGTGTTCCAGAGCACTTATATAGTACTCTTCACATAGACTAACCTTTCAGAATGCTTCACGAGGATGTTCCCGCTGATCTCAGTGCTGATACACCCTGCAGCAAAGTGTCGATAGTAATCTTTGCTTTTGGTATCGCACCTTTCACATTGGGAGGATGTCTCGAAGTGCATCACAGTTCAGTGTAAAGCGCTTGTATTTTGTAGGCGAAAATATAATTTCCGCATACATTGGGTGAGAACAGGATCACACCTTACTGTGATTTCCTGAGGCCGACACTCACTGGAGGCTCACAAATGAATAGCGCCCACATGAAGGAAGGAGGTATGGAGGGTGCCTGCTGCCACAGATCTGTACGGTAGAACATTAATCACCTTCAAACGAAGGAAGAGAGGAAAAAATTGGCAGAAAATAAACAAAGAAGAAATATTTTGGCAAGGGGTAAATGAAGCTTTATTCCTGACTGATATCACTGGTGCAATCAAAAGCTGAGTTTCTTCGACCACCAACTATGATTATGTACGCTGTACTTGCAGATGGTATTTCGAGATGTCATTGTAACCACTTGAACTAAATCTGTGTGTTTCTTTGCAGAGCAATTGCTCGAGTTCATGCATCAGCTCCCTGCCTTTGCCAACATGACCATGTTTGTCAGGAGAGAACTGTGCTCAGTCATGATATTTGAAGTGGTTGAACACGCAGGAGCAATAATAATTGACGAAGGAAAAGAGGTAAGCCTTCTAAGTGACTTTTTTTATATTTATAGTGTTGCAGTGGAGAATTGCTCGTTCGTGTTTACTCAGTAAACCTATTAGTTTATCCAGGGCAACCACTAGAACTAAGAGAGTGGATGGTTTATCTGCAATTATCTGACATCAAGGCTGTGCGCTGAATAGAAGGAGGCATATAAGAACTGTCCAGGAATGACCTCCCTCCCATTCCATCCTCCTCCTCCCATGGGAGGCAGTTGGTCTGTCACTGAAATTAACTTGAAGTGAATGATATCAAATCTACATTACATTGCTCCACATGAATGTTGACCTTACTGGTGAATCATGGCTTAAATAAACCATCAAATAGTAGATTCTCCCCACTCCCCATTCAGTTGCTGATCACTCAACTCCCCTCTGCTGGCAGGCACAGTTAACCAGTCATTCTCCTCAGGTTTCTCTCCCCCTTAAAACCACTGTCACCACTCCTCAAAAAAAAAACTCGGCCCCTCTAACCTCACAAACTAACATCCCATTTCTAACCTATCCTTCCTTGCCAAAACTTTGGAACGTGTTGTGGGGTAGTCAGTTCCACCACACCGTTCCCTCCTCAAGCCCCTCCAGTCTGGTTTCCACCCTGCACAGCACAGAGGCAGCCCTGTGACATTGTTTGTGACTTTGCCAAGCTCTGCAGCCAAGGCTCTCTCTGCCTTCTTGTCCTCTTGGATCTCTCTGCCAAGTTCGACGTCTCTTTCATCCACCTTAGTGGGACCGCAAATTTCCTGCAGCTAAATGTTGACAGGATGGAAGCTTGGCTCCTGTCAACATCTTCTCTCCTGCGGCTCTGACCCCTTCAACCTCCCCAGCCTATCCCTCAGTCACTGAATTGATGCGCAATCTAGGCATCAGGTTCAACCCACAGCTGTTCTTCTTACCCCACATCGGGTCCCTGACCGAGATCACTTTCCTGAACATTGCCTGCTTCAGACCATATCTAACCCCAAACATTATTGAGTTCTCTCAAAGGGTTTCACAGAATATATTGTAAAGTGGATTGACTGTATTTTGCTGGTGAAAAATATAAATGTAATATTGTTGTTGTCCTTGTTCTGTATGTTCTTTTCATGACTGTTTCAGCGGGGGAAGAATATTTGAAGCTTTTCTTGGTATTGAATGATAACAGAACGATCTTTGTATGTATTATGTTTTGCTTCCAGCTGGAGTCCTGGTATGTCATTCTAAATGGCTCGGTTGAAATCACTGATTCCAGCAGTAGGATTGAAATACTTTGCATGGGAAACAGTTTTGGTATTTTGCCCTCTTTGGAGAAACAGTACATGCATGGAGCTGTTAGGACCAAAACAGATGATTGTCAGGTAAGGGCATGTGATTCAAGAGCATATTGATTGTTGTATTAACAAATTAAAATTGAAAGATTCGAAGTCATGTCTGTTTTCTACGTAACTGGAAATAACCAAAGTAGGATACTGAATTAAGTAAATTAGGGTATTTTTGAGGTGCAAGTGGTTTTCCAGTACTGTTAGTTTGTGCGCATGTGTACAATATGGTAGTTTGTGTTTGAAGCTTAACTGCCGGTTCATACTTCACCTATTGCCTTCAGATTTCCACTCTTCTGGCCGCAAAGCAAAACTTGTTCAGAGTTGTCTGTTAAAAGAAGTAGTTAACTGAAAAATAAGGTGATAGCATCGATCAGAACTGTAAAGAAGACAGTTTGTCATGATAGCTTTATTTTCTAATAAATGAAATACTAGAGAAAAATGAGTAGTTATGAATTTGTTTGCATAAATAAGTGATTACATCTCCAGTGTCTAACGTTATTATGGAGATTTTTTACTTTATCAATAAATTTGCAATGGTACGTCTGGCCTTCCTATTTGTGAGAGATACGATATGGCTTCCTCTTCTTTGCACATTCTTTGCAATCAGATAAGTCTTCACACTTATTTTATGCGCACGTTATGGTGCAATTGCACATGATTTTCCGTGATGTCAGTATCATTGATATCAACTTCAAAGGAAGGCAGAATATCTATTCTAGTTTCTACCCGGGTCCACTATTTGAACTCAGAAGATGCAGTTTTGAACGTCAAGATTGAACATATGTTTCAATTACATTTTTTGTGTTTATATGACCATTGTTTTAAAACTATTTCTAATTGAAATCGCAAAGGATTAATCTAATGACGGGGTAGAAATTACTGTGCTCTAAAATTTATTGCTACCCTTAAATTGATTTGGTGGTGGGTTCAGTGAATTAATGAGTAAACATGTAAATGATGAGGTACTGAGCCATGGAGGAAGCACAATTTCCTGGTTGAATTTCTTGCTCTGTGTAAGCTGCTCTCAGTCAGGGCAGTGGGAGGAGCACTCAATCCAAAAAAATCTCAAAGACAGAATCAGTGATTTTTGCTGGAAAGACTGCATATGTGGATATTGATGAGAACAGGGTTGGCCTTGACTATGGTGTTACCCCTGTGGTTGAATAACTTGCTGCCAATTACTGTCTACATACACATAAGAAAAATGGCAATTCAGTGAGGATCCGATGGGCTGATGGTTCCTGTTGAACTGTATTCGAGCAAACGTCATCACTGTCAGAGGAAAAAAAGGGAGAAAATTTTAAACATATATCACTTCCTCACCGCTACTTACTTACAAAATACATGTTGGTTTATTTTCTCTTTGAAACTGTGTTTATTTAACATTACACCATAGTCCGAAGGGGTCTAAGGTAGAGAATTTCTGAATGTAGGAAAAATCACTCTGCTGCAGCTATTATTAGAGGTCCTCCCGGGCCACGAGGGGGGCTATGACTGGTGTGGACACTCGATGGAGGTTGGGTACACATAGTCAGGTGCATCGCAGAGGCCTCTGGTTTATTGGAGGGCATGGGGGGAGGGGGCCATGGTGAGGTCCTCCAATATACCAGCGGCCTCTGTGATATAAGACACCATCTTATAGGATAAGCTATCTGATCAATTTTACATTGAAAATACTTACAAGAATCTCTAGAATGCAATTGGCTAAGTGACAAGTGGAGTCCCTTATTGCCCAAATCCCTGACTGTCCAGCACCTTGGGACGTCCTCCTGACGTAAAAGGCACTATACAAATGTAATTTATTGTTGTTGATATAGCACCTTATCACGCCTGAAGGGGATCTCAAAGCGCTGTTGTTGTACACAAGTGTAATTTGCATTGTATTTTGTATGGTAAACGGCTGAGATATTGATGATATGGCTACATTAGTGATAGTGATTAGTTAACCCAGTGCCTTAACAGGAGTTTACTGTATCCTCTTTGTCTGAGCATTTATCTGTTAAGATGTGGTTAAAATTATGCTTTTTTTCCCTGTCTTTTTGTCATAGTTTGTAAGCATAGCTCAGCAGGACTATTGCCGGATCTTAAATCAAGTCGAGAAGAATACCCACAAAGTGGAGGAGGAAGGGGAGATTGTGATGGTCAAAGAGCACAGAGAACTGGATCGCAGTGGAACACGAAAAGGGCACATAGTCATAAAGGTAGATTCATTGGAAATGTGAACCACAAAAATCATTTTCAGATCTAATCACGATTTCTTTTATTTTGTCACCTTTCCACTATAATTGATTTGTCCAAGACAACCTTAAACAGGTTTTGCCAGCTACACTTGGAACATGTTTGAGAAGAAATTCCACTTGGGTATAGATTTACTGTAATAATAATAATTTGTAGATTTACTCTATTCGTATAGCATTTTAGAGGATTCAGAATTGTTAGCCGGCCCCAGGAATAATTGCTGCTAGAAACTGGAAAAATAAAGAATAGACTTTGTTTTGTTGATCTGTTTGTTAAATGATGCTAAACTACTTTTCAGGGAACACCAGACAGACTTATCAGACATTTGGTTGAAGAACATTCCATTGTGGATCCCACATACATAGAGGACTTCCTGTTAACATACAGGACATTTCTGTCAAGTCCAATGGAGGTTGGGAACAAATTGCTGGAGTGGTTTAACGTTGAAAGCCTCAGGGACAAGGTTAGTCTGAACACCCATTATTAATATCTATTGAACAAACAAAAAGCTTCTTTGAACCAGAGCAAAAACGAATGGTTGTTGCCTTGTAGAAGGGCATTTGATTAAACTTTGATGTTGCGGTGTTTTAATACTAAAGTTAAGGGCATGGAAGCAGATTGCAACAGCTTTGTTGTACCTCTCTGACCTGCTTACCCCCGCAATCCACATCCCGTTGCCTCCGCTTGACTGGCTCTGACCTTCTGTATGTATGTCCCTCGTGGCCGTGCTTTAAGCCACTACTCCCCGAAACTCTGGAACACTTTTCCTCTATCTTGCCTCTTCTTCCTTCACCATCTACATACCGTCGTCTTCGACCGTGCCTGCAGTCACCTTTGCCTCCCCCGGCTCAGCGTCGTGCTCCGCCCGTGTCAAGCACTCTGGAACGCTACCCTGAGTAGCCCTGACACCTGGTTGTGTGTTTCCCAGGGTGTTAACTTTGAGCATCACACTTCATTGCAGGTCACGCGGGTTGTGCTGCTGTGGGTGAACAACCACTTTAATGATTTTGAAGGAGATCCTGCCATGACCAGTTTTCTCGAGGAGTTTGAAAATAAGTTAGAAATTGCGGTAAGACTGACATATTAAATGATTTGGATTTTGAAATGAGGTTTTAAATTGAAGCATGACCTGAAGCTTGTACATTGTTTTCCCATTACTATCACCTGCCTGAGGGCACTGAACCTGCCTGCCATTGAATTTCCCTTGTACCATCTGGGCTCAGTGTAAAGAAGAAATGGTGAATTGATAGTCTTTCTGTGCCCTCAGGCTCTGCTTTTTGTGCGCTTCACTGCTTCATAATTTGAAGATATAAACTTTATAGGAATTAGAAACATCGAAACAGGAGTAGGTTATTCGGCCCCTGGAGCCTGTTCCACCAATTTATAAGATCATGGCTGATCTGTACCTCAACTCCAATTACCTGCCCTTGCCTCCTATCCCTTAATACTCTGACCTAACAAATATCTATATTGTTTGCTACATTTGACAATTCTTATTTACATTTTTATTTTTATTTGTGATCATGTATATTGTGGTCTGCAGCTTAGTACAGGATGGAAATCATGCTTACAGATAATAATAACAATAATAATAATAATCCTTGCATTTGATACAGCGCTTTTCACGTCTTCTGGGCATCTCAAAGATGCAGCCCTTACGGGTATGGGTCTGAATTGGCATGACATGCAGCGTTGCTTGTTCTGCTCATTGGTGACTGCGGTTCCAACTGCAGCCAACAAGCGGCGATGTGTTGCTGACTCACTATGAGTCAGTTGCACACTCTCCGTGGGCTGGTCCTGGCATTGGGATCAACTCCCAACTATCATCCTTCCCAGGTTTGAATAATTCCCTGTGATCCATTCCACTCTCAAATATGTGTGTAGATTTAATAACTGAATTCTACAATGGATGAAAATGATTAAAACAAACTGGGTTTGTTTGCAGAAAATGAAAGGACATCTCAGGTTGCTTAATATTGCTTGTGCGGCTAAAGCCAAATGGAGGCAGATAACTCTGCTGAAACCTTCCCGAGAGTCACCATTGTTCTTTAACCTCCTTGGTGGCAGTGAGAGAAGTTTTGGTATCTTCGTGGAAAGTGTGGAGCAAGGCAGCAAAGCTGCCGAGACCGGGCTTAAACGAGGTGACCAGGTAAGAATTGTTCTGCACTTTTTTTTCATGTGACTTGTTCAATGGTTTGTCAGACAGTGAAATGTGTTTTGAAGCTTGGAATTTTTAACAGCTCCTTTTTTGAGATTCAATCTTTTAATAAGATTTAAATTTATTTTCCATTTCCACCCATTATTTAATGAGAAGCTGCAGGTTTACAGGAAATAATGGTGGTATGTAAAGAGCTGGGCAAAGCGGCAGGATAAATTGACTCTATTAGGCAGGATTATTATGTTTTATTATGCTTTCTGTTGTTGTGTGCAATATTAACCTACATGACTGGTAGAGCTTAAATTGAATCATCATAATCCTTGCATTTCACATAGCGCTTTTCACGTCAGGACAATGTCTCAAAGCACGTCACAGGATTTATTGTTTTAGTGTAGTGACTGCATATTTTGTAAGTGAACATAATTTGGCTCTGCTTCAAGTGCACATGAAGCCAAGTGTTGACCACTTTAGTACAAAAAGCAGGTCTGCTGTGCATGTGTGAAATGAATAGGATACAATGAACAGTGCAACTGGTATAAATAATTTCCTGCTATAGCAAAACTGTCCAAGCAGAGTAGTTTGAGTTTCTGACGAGTGTTGTGCTGTAGACTCATAAAGAGGGGAAAGAATGGCATTTAAGGCCAATGAAGGAAAATGGCACAGAATTAAGTCGGAATCAATACCAGAATCTCGATATGAGATCAGATCTCCTGACATTCCTGATTAATATTTTCCAGCATAACCTGCTCTCATCTTGCAAGTGCAGGTATTTTGAAGTTAGTCAATTCCAAGTTTTGAGATGACAGCACAAACAAAAAGGTTTTCACAGAATCGGAAATAATGCTCATTGTTGCACTGATAAAATACAAACCTATAAATAATAATGTGCGCTTGGATGTAGCCATTATCTTAGCATTAATGTTGTTGGGCAAATTGTTTCAGATTATGGAAGTGAATGGACAGAACTTTGAGAATATCCAATTCACGAAAGCCCTAGAGATTCTGAAGAACAACACGCATCTGTCCATCACTGTGAAGACAAACATATTTGGTATGTGGATTTTGAAATAACACTGAAGCAGACCTTATAAACAAACAATAAGTGGTATGGTGAATGACGTAAAATGCAAATGATATCATACATGATCAGTCACTGGATACTTGGATTCTTCCCACTTGGCTCAAGTTGACACTGCAAGCCAAAGCCTTAGCAGATATGGTGGTTTGGGCTGGACAAGCAGTGGCATTGCCAGTGTCTGCAAAGACAAGCTCTGCGGTTTTAACTGGTAAAAGTCCAGCAGTACCTCAAGATCCCCAAACATTTGCTCTTGCTAACCTGTAGACCTGTTAGGTGAGCAAGGGGGGAGAGAGTGAGCACTCCATACCAGACTAACCAGAAAACATATATATTACAGTGCAGCCCTGCTATAGTGTACTGTCACTTATAACACAGCTGCTCTGTAGGTCCTGTTTTTGCACACGTGTGTAGCCTGCTGGTTTTTTCTTGCTGTGTTGGGGATCTGTGTGACACAGTCATTTTGTTTTACAATACAATACAAAATTAAATTTGTATAGCGCCTTTCACGCCAGGATGACGTTTTGGGAAACTAAAATGGTTGACATCCGGGTCATTAGATTGACGTCTGTCGCTTTCCGATTTGCACCAGACAAGAAGTGACTTTGGCAGCGACTGAATGACCTGGACGTTAACTATATTAGTTTCCAGGGTAAAACAAAATCGCTTTTGTTTTATGCCTGGAAAACCCAATCCCAAACACTGCATTATAAAGAGGCTGCACTGTATGTGGATCTCTCAGGTATTTGGTTATAAGACTCCGAAGCATGGCGATGGGGTTGTTGTATAAATGTAAATTTATATTTGTTATGAAAGGTTGGACTGGCGTTAACAATTATTTCTTTTTCAGTCTTTAAGGAGCTGTTAAACAAACTGAATCAGGAGAAAAAAAATGGGGTTCCTCATATTCCCAAAATCGCAGAAAAAAAGGGTAACCGTTACTCCCATCCAGATTTGCACGGGGACATGGAGCACATGTTCCCTCCTGAAAAAGAAAACAAGAAGATGAAGGCCAACACTGTGTCAGGCAGCCGAAACAGGATCCGGAAAATACTTGACAAGACACGGTTTAGCATTTTGCCACCAAAACCATTCAGGTAAGTGAAGCACCAAAAGCAAGGTCTCTGAATTCTGGCCAAATGTCTAATTCCAGTACTCTCGTGCAAACACAGAGCAAAGCAGTCCAATGCTTGAGTAACTTAACTTCTATTAGTTGGATCAGGGTATTAAGGGATACGGGCCAAGGGCAGGTAATTGGACTTGAGGTACAAGATCACCCATGATTTTATAGAATGGCGTAACAGGCTCGATGGGCTGCATGGCCTACGCCTGTTCCTACGATTCGTACATTTAAAAAGCAACAGAAACGTGTTTCACACTTACCAAAAGCTGAAGAGGGATTAAAGAACTTAATAGGGAAAGCAGATTGTTTTAATCAAAATATTTCCTCGATTTCAAGATCCTCACACTGACCTACAAATCACTTAATTCCCCAGCACCTCAACCTCTCCAACCTGCTCATACCCCCATATCTTCCTTCACTTGGCTGGCTCAGGCCTGCTGTGTATCCCCGACTTTTCTGCTGCACAACCTTCGAACTCCTTGCCTCGATCCCTCCGCCTTGACTCCTCTTTACCCATCGTCTCCTCAGCTCGGCATCAAACTACATTGTTCAACTCTCAGACACTATCCTGCATGAAGGGCGCTGTGTAAATGCAAATTGTTGTATTTTATCTGATTGCCACTTAATAGCAAACAATTCCAATTCCTACCAAAGAAAATGTTTGTAGTGCCCAATCATGGAATCATAGAATTTTACAACACAGGAGGCCATTCGGCCCATCGTGCCTGTACCGGCTCTTTGAAAGGGCTATCAACTTGTCCCACTCTCCCGCTCTTACCCCATAGCTCTTATCTTAAATCTACTAAATCTAATTTAAGCTCAATTCTTAAATCTACTACCACAAAGGCCATTTTCATGATGTCTTGGAAGTGACTTTTATTAAAACAAATGAGTAAAGTGGCCCATTATAAAGGTGTGTAGGGAAAATGAGAAGTGAGGAAGAGAGACAAGGCAATGATCGGAGGCAAGATGAACTCTTTCATGGTCTGGTTCAGTGATCCCTCTGCTAATGGAATCACATGTTAATTACTCCCAGAAACTCACCACAAACAATATATAGTAGGGAATTGATTACAGGACATGGAAGATATTGATTTTATATTTAAAACATGTTATATTCACTGCAGAAACTGGTTGAGCACAAACGTTAATCTTTTGATGCTGTTTTACTGAATTGCCTTTTTGAAATAATTTCATGGTAATTTTAATCAAATCTGTTTTCAAGAAGTTTTCTTTTTTTTAAAAAAAAAGGTAATTTGTGCTGTAATCCAGCCTGTTTTAGTAAATTTTGCTTTAAGTAGCATTGTTTTGTTAGAGGGATTATTGATTTGAAGGGTTACCAAAGTCAGGGATGTTGAAAAGCAGTGAGGATGTTTTATACATTTTCTGTGGTCTTTTCAACAACAGCAGCAGCAGCAATACGCTTCATGCAGAGCACTGAAAGAAGTGAATGAGATCAAAGCATAAATTTCAAGAATATTGGATTGCACAAATGATCATCAAATTAGATAGATTTCTGTTAGAAAATAATATCTCGGAATAGAATATGTCAAGCGACTGCCAGGATGGTGAAAGGCAAACTGGATGGACCTTGATCTTCTTTTGCCTAGTAAATTCTTATGTTCTTATCGTGATAGGAGCTAATGGTTTATATAACGCACGTAATCCAGCATTCATTTGTTTCATTGTAGTGTATCATGTTGCAAGGAGTTTTCCTGTGTTTTTTATGGCTTTCCTTCACTCAGTTCAATAAAGCTCAGTATATAGTTATTTATTCATATGGGTTTGGATAAAAGAAGCCTTTTTCTTTTAGTAAAGTGGATATCGAGTCCTATTTTCGTTTACGTCTGCGAGATTGCAGTGTCAGTGTGAGTAGATGAACAAATGGGTACTGACAAACAACAACAAAATTACATTTGTATAGCGCCTTTCACATCGGGAGAATGTCCCAAGGCCCTGGACAGTCAGTCCTTCAGACCAGGTCTGAGACCTCTGGTTGTGGTCCTCCTAACCTGAAAGGCTCTATACCAAATGTAAGAATGATTACATAGTGTGCTTCTGAATAAGCGGAAGCCATGCAAAAGCATCCTCGCAATGACTTTCAGCAAACAGTTTCAACTCAGGGTGTGGGCCATTGAATTCTGTGCTCTCCATGTCTTAATAGGACCTGGAGATTTCTCACAATGTCTCCTGTCTGTCCGTTACTCTATATTTACTCGCCCTGTGAATCACGGAGAGCATCATTCTGTAGTGTTGATATCACCAAAGACTTATCTTCTATCATCATTTCACCTATTTTTTTCTGTCATTTAATTTTTTTCTATCATTGAGACTATAGTATATCTTTCTAAAGATAACAGTCGCTATCCTCTCCCACACCGAGCTCTGTGAACCCATCGCCACCATCCTTTCCTGGCTCCCCGTCCGCCGGATGATGGAGTTTAAAATGCTCGTCCTCACTTTTAAAGACCTCCAGGGTCGTGCTCCTCCGTACCTCTGCGACCTATTCACACCGTACCAACCTCTCCAGGGAGCAATGGCCTGTTCCATGTCCACCGCCCTGCCTGCCCCACCATTGGCAGTCGGGCCTTCAGCTTTTCTGGCCCTATCAAATAGAACTCCATCCCGGAATCCCTCTGCCTTGCCCCTTTCAAAGCCCGCCTCAAGACCTCCCTCATTGACCGTGCCTTTGGTCACCCTCCCTCTACACCCCTGTTGATTTCAACCCCCAGCTCAGTTGCAAACCCTTGACTGACCACACGCCTTGGGACGCCCTGATGTGAAAGCTGCTATACAATGTAATTTGTTGTTGTTACGGCTTCGTTTTCATGTTCAGGTTTAGATAATATCATAATCCGTGGGGCTCATGTCATATCCTAGCAGTTTGTTCCCTGGAACCAATTAAGTTATAGCTATTCTTTACTCATCCCAGTTGTTGTCAAAAGAAATCTCTCTTCCTTGCAATGAGCACAGATGGGTGATCTGTGACCAGGCCTCTGCCTGTGCTACTCTGAAATCCAGCGAGCAAGTGGTGTGCAATGATGGCTTAGACATGATTGCCGCCACTCTGTTTTCTCTCCCTACGGAGCTGTTTGGCCTCCCCTTGACCCAGCTGTGTGAGAATACGGGCTCACACTGCATTGTGTCGCATCAGCCTTACGATTATCAATCATTTTTACTACATTAAATATATAATGCATTTATGCAGAAAGACGAGAAAGACAAATTTCCCCTTTTCTTGTTTGCTTCATAATGAGTTCTTGTCCTCAGTTATCATGCTTTACTGTTGTTAATGTAGTTCATCTCATTGTATTAAATTATCTCTTCTCTCTGTGATTGCATAACCCATACAGGGGACTATTTTGGTAAGAAATTTAATTTCCTAAAAGCCGTGTGTGCAAGTTTCTAGGGGCTCTGGCTGTATTCCCTGAAATGTGATTCTGGGCAGGATAAGGAAATGCCATTCAATAGGTATATATTTTGGGGAGATGTTTGGCTTTCACTTGACAAAGCTCTAAAATGTGAACTAGTAAAATAATTGTGCTTGCCGCCCACCCTCTCCCACACCCAGCCATAAACCTTGAGTCCACTCAGCACCTACTTGCATGTGAAACCTGCAAAGCTAAAATGTGGGCAGAGGAATGTGGACGTATAGCAGGATCGGCTGCTTCACAACTGTTAATTTGTTGACCTGCTTTTTGCGATAATACGAGAATCAGCTCATTTTGAAGTACACGTTGCTTTATCAAATTCCGATTCATATTTCATCGATCTTTTCTGATAGCCGACGAACTAGAACGTTGCAGACTTGCCTCGGGTATCTTATTTGAGGCAAGTCTTCCTGAGCTATCTTAGCTGAGTTGATTAAAAATGTGACGTTAAAAATATGACATTAAAAATATGCTGACATCAATGACCTGTTTTCTTAAATGACCTACAGCGATGCCGGAGTGAGTCAATCGCAAGACGATAGTTTCGTTGGAACAAGACAGTTAAGGCACAGTGTTGCCATAATGCCTTTCCCTGGAACACTCTCATCAAGTAGCCCTGACCTGTTGCAACCTGCTACCAGCATGCTTGATTTCACAAATCCAACAGGTAAAAAAAAACACCTAAGGAAATGCCATTCAATAGGTATATATTTTGGGGAGATGTTTGGCTTCCACTTGACAAAGCTCTAAAATGTGAACTAGTAAAATAAGTGTGCTGGCCCAACCCCCACCCTCTCCCACATCCACCTAAATAGACCAGACTCCCCCCCCCCCCCCCCCAAATCCGCGTTTGAAACACAAGATTATTCTGCATGCATTTGGGAAAAATATCTTCAGGGTTGCAGCTAAGGACAATACTCTGATCAAATCTGCTTGCTGCACAAACCAGGGGAAGCACCAGAAAGTAGATAACAGCAAAAGGATTTAGATCAGTTATGAAAATGGGCATATTAAATTCTAACACACTTAAATGTAAAGGATAGGTAGAAAAAGTGAATTGATTTTGAACAGGGAGGTTTAGAATGGAACCTGGAGGTTTTGCAGTTCACTTTCTAGTCCAGAGACTGAAAAGGTAATAGCTCAATATAATAAGTTGGTACAATAGTGCAATATGAGGCTACTTAATTTTTGCTGATTGCCTTGGGACGTCCTCCTGACGTGAAAGGCGCTATACAAATGTAATTTTGTCGTCGTTGCTGAGGCTATGCAATGTGATGATCAGAACACCTTTATAATAATAATATAACAATTTAGTATTTTGCTCAGTTTGGTCACCATGTTGTCTAAAAAGAAGATTTATCCCAAGTGCAAAGAGGGACGATTAGAGAAACATAAGCTTTACAGTGTGGAAAGTTGGTGTGTTAAATATTGGTTGCAGTTAAACATTTAAAAGTGTTGCAAATCAGAGAAAAGTAACACTATAGGACATGAATTGTAGAATTTGTAAGAAATTTGTGGCAAGATGCATATTTTCTTGAAAAGATTCCTAAATCCACAACATGCAAAAGTATGATAATTTGTTATGTACTGTTGCCTAGTATGTGTTTTATATATGTGTTGCATTCATAGTTGGTCATCATCAATATACTTCATACTTCTGAAATGATGATTCTGTCATCTTTTCGTGTCGAACTGTTCATTCAGTTGCCTTGTGTTAGAAAAAAATGAGTTCCATCCCATGATGTTAACACTGTAAAAAGCCATTCAGAGTATCAGCAAAGGAGGACATTTTAATAAATTAAAATATTTAATTTTTTAAAAATAGATTTCCTTTAATTGAATCTGCAGGGTTTATTTTTAATTTCACTGTGAAATTTATTTAAAAATATTATTCTCCTTAAGTTTCATTGTTTTCTCCTGAGAAATTCAGATTTTAAAATGTGCAGTTTTCTTAAAACTTGTGATTTTTCTGCTTTTAATGAGATTTGGATTGGATTCCGTGGGCCACACTCAGCCCCAAATAAATGAGGCTTGTGGCCTCCCTGGCATTTTACCTGATCTTCTCTTCGTTGAGCCAAAAAATGAGCGCCACATAATTAGATTTTTTCAAAATAACATTAGAAATGTAACTACATAACTGGTAGAACTAATGTGCCAATTTTTTTTTAAAGTTGTAGTTCTAAAATTGAATCCCTTGTGTTCTTATATTGAATCAAAAATTGGAAGGAATCCTGTGAAATTAAAAAGCTAAGAATTCAGAGCCCTAATTATGTTCCGCATAATTTTCCACATAGTTGCCCATTCAGTAAATTGTAATTGTTTCAAATCTAATAAGTTTTTTTTGTTTTTAAGAAGTTATTCTTTCTATAGTTTAGTTTGTCCAGCTAGAACCACCTTACCCGTTAGGCCTTTGGCTTGCAGGGTTAACAGGAGCTGAGTAGGATGCCTCCCTACCCACAGTGACTGGTTTGCCCTTCCAGGTCCTGCTGATCTGCCAGGCGGCTGTGCTGTCATCAGCAGTGCTCTGGAATACTGCAGACCCACCTGGCTCAGAAAACGGACTACCAAGACCCCCACAGAGGGCTGGCTCGATTCCTACATTCCAGTTTAGCTCCAAGGAGACCCCACTTAATTTATTGCAATGGCTTTGTTTCAAATCACAATGAACAATTGCTTAGACTCTTGGTGTGATTACAATTTTTAAAAGTTGACCTACTTATGTTGACTATTTCTTGAATGCGTTCTCAAAAATACTCTACAACTTGTGTAATTTCCTTTTTATCTGTTCTTCCTTCTTCCCACTTTTACCATTGCCACCTCAGCTGCTGGCTTTTATAGTGAGTATGCATCATTCCCTCAGTATGTCTATTCCTATATTGCATGTGCAACTGGACTTCTGTCTGCATAATGACGCTTCAAATTATCATGATGTGGTTTTGCATTTGCTTGGGTTTTATAGAAACAGATTAAAAAACACTGTAGTTTGTGCTGGTACATTGCATTGGAGGATGAATGCATGTTGTAGTCATTAGAAGGTTTGGCTTCTTCCCTTCTGATCCCATGCTGAGATCTGAACTCCAATTCTAGATCTCAGCTCCATTGCCAAGGGTGATTGCACAGTCCTGACTGATAAGTTGTTATGCTCAATGGCGTAAATGCACTGTACTTGCATCAGTAAAGATCACTGTTAGCCTAAGTTGCTTCAGCATTCTCATCACTTTAATGTGTTGCATTAATTCAGCTTCTTAGTCCTGTCTCATAGTACTCTCAATTCTGTCCCCAACACGGTTAAAACATAAATTTGTGGAAAAGGTAGGAAAATGTATCAAATCAAATGTATGAAAGGCAGTGAGTGTATCATAGGTGACAATGCTGGCTTAATATAGGGCCATTAATTTGGGTTTTCCCTTGTGGGATGAAAAACATGACTCGTTTTTCTGATCAATCAGACGTTAAGTGAAAACTCATGTGAGAAGTACTTGGGATTTGTTAAGAAATGTTCAAGTGTGACTGCAATGGAGTGCAGAAATTATCTGAATTTGGAATTAAGACCCAGCTGGCAGAACATCCCTGGGTGGCTTGTCAGTGATTTCAACGGTCTGCAGGCAGAGTTATGATGCTTCTCAGTCAAAATAATTGACAGCCATTACTATACTTGTGTATTTGTTATGTGTAAGTCTTATAAAATTCGACTTATACATAACTTTACATATATGATACAGTAATAATAATCCTTGCATTTGATATAGCACTTTTCACGTCTTCTAGACGTCTCAAAGCGCTTCACAGAATATGCTGTAAAATGTATATTTGTGGGCGAAACGCGGCAGCCAATTGCGCACAGCAGTGTCCCACAAACAGTCGTGGATTGAAAATGACCAACTTATTATTGTTTTGTTTTGGAGAAATTATTATTAGGCTCTGTGTGGAGTAAGGAAACTTGCCCAAGGTTTCGCCCTCTGCCTGGAAATGAACCCAAGTGTCTCGCTTGCAAGGCGAGTGCTCTAACCACTGAGCTACATTTCATGTTTCACTTAACTCCTACTTTACATAAGTCATATTAAATGTATGGTCCCAACTGATACAACTTACGTGAGGTTTCCTGTAATCTATTAAGAGGCTGGCATTTACTGTTAGCCTTCAGTTAAACGCACGTCATTCAGCTTCACAATCCCCCAATTCTCTCGCTTTTCTTTGAGCTGTTGGTAGCAGATTCCATTATTGCCGTGAGGTGGGGAATTCCTTTTGGAAGGGCATCATTACCAATGATGGTTTAGGAGCAGGAGCTAATTGATTTGTTATGATTCGGATTTTTGTTAAACAGTTGTCTGGGTTTTTAAATAGCTGCCCTGTTAATAGAGTGCTGAGTAAATCTTCTAATTAGTTCAATTAATTAAACTAAATAAATCATTTAATTAGTTTGCCAAATGCAAATTATGTCACCTTCGCAAAATCTGTTAATTTTTTGTGTAACGCAACATGAAAATGATGTATTCACAATTAATTTCCCCTGAGTCATACGCCCATTGGAAAAGTACTGTAGCTGATCAAAGATATCGACATTATTTTCTAGAGTGTAAAAAATCTAGAAAATTATTATTTATTTTAAATAATAATTATTTATTATTATTATTATCTAGAAAAGTACTAACCAGATTCCAAGCTTTCCTTTTGTTCTTGACAGTTTTCACATCTGCACTGGCTACAGATGATGTATGATTCTGTGGAATCTGCGCGCCCTCTGATATTCATAGTTGTATCACAGCCAAGTCCAAACATGTTATTGATGTGATGTACACATTCTTCTAGCAAGAGGGTCACTGCATTTGGGCATTCAATCCATGACTGTTTGTGGGACGCTGCTGTGTGCAATTGACTGTCGTGTTTCCCCCACAAAATATAGTCAATTCACTTTACAGTATATTCTGTGCAGAGCTTTGAGACGTCTCAAAGACGTGATAAGGACTCAATATCGAATGCAAGGATTATTTTTATCAGTAGCAGGAGCTCTGATTACCTCGGCCAGGTAATGCAAATGCCAATTATTGCTCTGCCACTTCCCTGCTTCTGCTAAGTCAGCACAGTCCAGAAATCAATCTTGATTTACATTGTGTCATCGCTGACCAGAGACATTGACACTATTTTCTGGAGTATAAAAGATATAGAAAAGTGTGCTGCACCAGCTGTTGCTTCACCTATGAGTGATTTTCTAATAAATACCAGCATTTAATTATTGTAGATTAGGAAATCAATCTGAAATGGAGTGATGTTCATAAACTTTACCACTAAATATTCACTTAATTTTCCCTTCAGACAAGGACAGTATAGTCACTGTGTTCGGATGCATATGTAATAATCCTTTTTTTGACCAGACATACCTGATCAAGTCATCCGAGTTTTCAAGGCAGATCAGCAAAGCTGTTACATCATTATAAGCAAGGATACCACTGCGAAAGAGGTGGTAACCCATTCCATCCATGAATTTGGTTTGACTGCACCCCCTGAGACCTACTCTCTGTGTGAGGTTTCCATCAGCTCTGAAGGTGTCATTAAGCAAAGGCGACTTCCTGATCAGCTCTCAAAGCTGGCTGACCGGATCCAACTCAATGGCAGGTGAGAAGGCATCATTAGCATATCTATAGATGTCTTTAATTTCATAATTGCTATCACAAACATACTATTATTTAAAAAGCATTTTGTCCATAAAATATACAGTCAGTTCATTGTACAGTATATTCCGTGATGTGCTTCGAGACGTTGATAAGGCGCTACATCAAATACAACGATTATTATTATTATACACTTTTCCCATGTTAGTTATTTTAAGCCCTCTGTGCACCTCACACTTTTCTCTCTTTTGCTGAACACTCACTTGTTGGGTGCAATTCTATGTGTGCTGGGAACCTCCTGGTACCTCATGCAAGTCACCATTTTTCTCATTGTGACACACAGTCACCGTGGAACCCTGCTGAGCGATAACAAATGCAAGGATTATTATTATTATTATTCCTGTATCAGCCAGGATCAGCACAAAAATCCAGGATGTGATTTTCTCGTCTGCATTGCTTAAACTTAAAGCTATACATATGGTGCCCAAAGATTCATTTAGACTCTTATGTAATAAAGATAAATGTTTTAAAATCATACTATTTTGTTCACTCAGGTATTATCTGAAGAACAATATGGAGACAGAGACTCTTTGCTCAGATGAAGATGCCCAGGAGCTGTTGCGGGAAAGTCAGATAACTTTGCTACAGCTCAGCACCATTGAAGTAGCCACTCAACTCTCTATGCGAGATTTTGAATTGTTCCGTAACATAGAGCCCACTGAGTATATAGATGACCTGTTCAAGCGAGAGTCAAAATCTGGAAATGCTCACCTCAAGCAGTTTGAGGACATCATCAATCAGGAGACCTTTTGGGTGGCTACTGAGATTCTGAAGGAAGTTATTCAGTTGAAAAGGATGAAGATAATTAAACATTTCGTCAAAGTTGCCCTGCACTGTCGAGAGTGCAAGAACTTCAACTCCATGTTTGCAATCATCAGGTAGGATTTAACAGTCCCTACTGATTTGATTCCGTTTAGTTTGATTCAGACTTTTGTTATGAGGTGTGAACCTCAAATCTGTTCTGTCAAATGTGGATTGCTTTTTTAGCTAGAATGCAATGTGGTCTGGAAAAATCAATTTGCTCTTGTATAACTGCTATATGTAGTCAGTATAAAGATGTGTATTTTCTTTTCTTCTTTTCTAAAGGAATGATTAATTAAAAGCATTTTTATTTTAAATCACTTGTCATATATATAATATATATATACTAAATGTCATTATCTTCCTTTTTCAGTGGCCTAAACCTTGCGCCAGTTGCACGCCTTAGAGGCACTTGGGAAAAACTACCCAACAAGTATGAGAAGCTACTTCGGGACCTTCAAGATCTCTTTGACCCTTCTCGAAATATGGCAAAATATCGAAACGTACTCAGCAGCCAGAGTCTTCAGCCACCAATCATTCCACTGTTCCCTGTAGTCAAAAAAGACCTCACTTTTTTGCACGAAGGTATTTCATTATTAAAAAGTATGTGCTTATTCCTGCAGAAAATTCATCGGATTTAGACCACAGGCCGCCGAAACCCTCATACATGTCTTCATTACATCGAGGCTGACTATGCTTGTTGGCATCCCCAAATCCTTCCTCCACAGGCTGCAGATCATCCAGAACTCTGCAGCCCATGTCCTCTCCCGCACTAGGCTCCGCAACCTTATCACTCCCATCCTCGCCCGACTACACTGGCTTCCCATCACGCAGAGGATACAGTTCAAGATCCTGTTCCTCACCTTCAAAGCCCTCCATGGTCTTGCGCCCCACTACCTCCCCGACCTCCTAACCCTCTGTTCGCTCCCTCCGCGCAGCAGGCACATAGCCTGCCTTGCTCGCCCCACTATCAGCAGACAGGTCTTCCGCCACTCTGCACCCACCCTATGGATTTCCATCCCGCAGTCCCTCCGTCTCGCCCCCTCCCTCGCCACCTTCAAAACCCACGCAAAACCCTCCTCTTCGACCGTGCTTTCGATCTCCCTGCTCATAGCACTATTCAAAGGGAAGGGAGTTCCTTCCCGTGTCTGGGCCAACAATCCCTCAGATAAAATTGGTCATTCACTTCATGGCTATTTATGAGACATTGCAGTGCAGAAATTGGCTGTCATGATCACCTACAAAATGCACATTGGCTACACTTTAGAGTAAGTTCTGTGAACAACAACAAAATTACATTTGTATAGCGCCTTTCACATCAGGAGGACGTTTTGAGACATCCTCCTGCCTCTAAAATCATTTTGTGAACATAAAATGCTCCAGCTTCAACATACCCTTACGTTTTGAATCCGCTTTACAATGTCGTGTTGGTAGTGTAAAGATTAGCAAGTTGAAAGGATTTGATCACATGATCTCCTTCATTGAAAATGTAAAAAAAATACAGTTTTTAAAAAGTCTTGTCTATGAATAATTTAAATGTCTTCATGCTATGTCTGTCCTCAACTGGATTTTAAAACCTTCAATGAGACGGTAACCTTTCAGAAAAATGCTGTGAGCATTTAGCCTTATATATGTCCTGACATTTATTTTTAGCAAAAGATGGCAGAGCCCTGTCCATTTTTTTTACAGTTAAACATGAATTTTACTGAAATCCACTTTCTGAAATTTTGAGTTTGATCATTTAAAACATTGACCCTGACAGCCTTTAACATTCACAACACTGACCCTGAGAGTTGTCTTCTGTGTTGCATATTCTGGGTACAATGGAGACTCTGCTATAAAGCAAGGCGTCATTCGATTTTCTTACATTTAATTTCTTAGGAAATGATTCCAAGGTGGAAGGTTTGGCAAACTTTGAGAAACTGCGGATGATTGCTAAAGAGATTCGACATGTTGTCCGAATGACATCAGTGAACATGGATCCGGCGATTATGTTCCGACACAGGTTAGTAACTGAAAAAAGACAGGATATTTTAGACTTGATGGGTGAGGCGTGAATGTTTTTGGTGTGGGTATTATCTACTTGATAACCTCAAAAATTGTCCCCTACAAAATCCTGAAATTGATTTTACAGGTCCCTATAGTTTTGCAATAACTTGTGCATGAATCCTCTTATTAATGAAGCATGTTTGGTGTTTCAAATTTGTTGACCTACTAATATCTCCAGGACTTTAACATAAGTGAGTCTGAGATTCTAGATAGCCTCAAGAGTCTTAAAATCAGCAAATCCCCTGGGATGGATAAACTGTGCCCCTGGATACTTCAGCAGACAAGGCAGGAGATTTGTGCTGTCTATCAGGACTGGAGAGGTTCCAACCGACTGGCAGATGTTGTTCCTATATTCAAAAAGGGGGATGAAACTAAACCTGGCAACTATAGACCCTTTTTGTTAAGGAGGGGACAGCTCAAATTGACAGTGGAAAACCATATGATGTATACATAGACGTCCAAAGACTCCTTCACAAACTATGGTTACGTGGTCTCAGGCCAAGACATGGATTTCGATAGAGAATTACCTGAAGAGAAGCAAAGGGTCTTTGCTCGGGTAGTTAGATAAAACTGAGGAGAGGTATTAAGCGGGGTGTCTTAGGGGTCTGTACTAGGACCTTTTCTTTTTCTTCGAATATATTAATGACCTGGATTGGTAAAACCAATGTAAGACGGATAAAATTACTGCCTATTTGGAGGAGATTGTGGAATCAGGAGACAGTAAAGAGAGTTTAATAGAGTATGCACATGGGCTGGTAACTGGCAAATGACATCTAATACAGTAAAACTCGCATAAATTTTATCTTTATATAAATCATATAATCGCCTAAGTCATACATTCACTTGAGTCCCATTCAACAAAACCATGTAGATTTCTTTGCACTCTCTTGTTAATTATCTCCTAACTCGTAATGTCACTCCCCTATCCTCCATTACTCCCTCACTTAACCGGCTGCATTAAATCGCGGGAAATGACAGCCTGACCTGTCGACGCATGCGAATTTACCGGCTGCATTGAATCCCGGGAAACGTAGTCTTGATCCGTCAATCAAATACGCAGAAGAACTTCATTTCGCGCGATTCAATGCGATTCCGTTGCTTGTGCGGGTCAAGACCCTTAACCAGCTGCTGTGGCGAACTATCGCGTGGGCACTTACCATTCGCACTGAATTACACTTGCACAATGTAGATTATTGATTACATCGGATTTTATGTGACTTGTACGGTTTGCCTGCAACTCAGACTTTGCGTAAATCATATTAAATGTTACAGTCTCGACTGATACGACTGTGCATTACTGATAATGCATGGTCTTCTGGATAGTGTTCTGGACTCTGGAGGCGTGAGATCCGATGGGCCTCAGGGCCTTTTTCATTCAGACAAATCTTCTGATCTTGTGGGCCTGGCTCCTGGTTGATGAGGAATATTGGAATCGAGTTTATCCTTTCTTGTGGTCTTAGTAGTCTGATTCCTGAGGCAGCTAGGATTGCAATACTCCGAGGTACTATTGATAGCAGATTAGACAGCCCAGCTCATCAGCCACATTTAGAGGGGCAAACTGTGGCCAGAGATATGTTCCACTCAATTTCTGTTAGCTTTACAAGCCAAAAGCCTAATGGGTAGAGTAGCCCCAGCTGGACAAGCAGTGGGAAGTTTATCAGGCACATTGGCAAACTGCAGTTTTAACTATTTCATTAACAGCAGTGCCTCAGTGCACACACGAACAGAGTCTACCGGATTTAGTGTTTTCTGATAAATGTCTATTGCTACACAAGCCATCCTCGTCTCTTTTTGAGTGAGATTTTGAACCCTGATTTGTACTGAATCAAAGGCAGTTTTCTGATCTCACACTCAGTATCCAGCACAAAATTTCCCACCTTAGTTCTATATTTCCCAGGTTTTGACATGTTCCAGTCTTCCATAAGGAGCAATGGGGAAAAAATAACACCAGTTCTAGCCACAACACAGATCTGTTGCAAGACCACACACTTGTCATCAATTTGCCAGTAGGTCTGTACTTCATTTGTGTTGTGCCAGGCTCAATACAAGCCCAATATAAATACTTGTTTAAGTTTCGTGAAAATTCTCATTGAACTTACTGCAGGGTCTCTAAACATCTCCTTAAACTTATTTAAGTCCACACAAACTGACGCGTTGACTTCAAATCAGATAAAGGATAGTTTGAAGGAATTTAAATGTAAGATTTCTTCATTAAACTGAGCAGCAGCATTCAGGTGAAAAACAGCTTTTGAATCCTTTGCTGATTAGGCTCGGTTGAGAAAAATGGAAATAATGGTAAATAAAAGGAAACTGGAATAAGGTTTAACAATTCTGCAGTAAGGGAATCACCAAAGACCTGATGATTTAGCCTGTGCCAGATGGAAATAAGCCACCCAGCCCAACCTGTCTGTGCTGGTGTTTATACTCCATGCATGTCTCCACGCATTCCTTACTCCTTCGCACAGCCTTCTCTTCCCCTCTCCCTCATGTGAAGGTCAAACTTCCTCTTAAATGCATCAACACTATCTGATTCAACCATTGCTTCAGGCAGCGAGTTCCGCATTCTCACTGCCCTCTGTGTGAAGTAGTTCCTCCTAACTTCTCTTAGATCCCCCCACCGTGGCATAAACATGGCACAAACAGTATTTGCATTAATTCTCAGCACTCGGTGGAAGCAGATTACCCAGTAATCAAACTACAAGCTTTGCAAGAGTATGATGTTGTGACTAGCAGTGGTACTCTTTCCCCCAGCTCCCTGTTACCGTGTACTGCACTCTTTACCTCATTGTCCTCCTCTCTGAACTGGTTTATCTTTTCTGCCTCTCTTTCTGAACACATGCTTCAATTTTCATGGCTCTCACTTACAGGAAGAAGAGATGGAGGAGTTTGGGGTAAGTAGTCTGTGCACAGGTGTTCAGGTCTTGGTTACATAACAACTTTGCATCTTCCTCACAATTGCCTGCCCTGTAAAGCACAGCATGTCACAATTAACCTACTTTCCCTCTCCTTGCCCAGCACCGACCGATCTTGTGTTTGCAAAGTACATTTCTCTACTTGCATCAAGTAAATTGTGCATACATCAAACAATTGCATGCATTTTGATTTAAAAAAAAACTTACAGAAAGATACAAGAGCAATAATAATAATAATCCTTACAGTTGACATAGCGCCTTATCACGTCGTTGAGACGTCTCAAAGGCAGAACATGGGTAACTATAGAAACTGTCGTTGATGTGCCTTGGTGGATGGATTTATGAGGAATAGGGAAAATGACATGTAGTGCTTCTCTGAGGTTATTGTGATTATTAAGGACGCTAGTGCTGAGAAAGGGGCACATTCCCATTCTAGGCATCCAGTTATTGAGCGCAGGCAGCTGTGGAGAAAAGCTGATCTACTTTATCCCAATAAAAAGGGGACTCTTGTTCCGAAACCCACTTTGTACCACTAAGGTCTGGCACCAAAGCACAGTCTTTAATTTGCCCAAATAAAACACTTTCAAATAATGATGCATCATCTAAATCAAAGTGAAAACGTTAACTGGAATGCAATATTGTATTGCACTGTGTGTGTGTGTGTGTGTGTGAGTGGGGGAAGGTGGTTGTGGTGAGGGGAAAGGGAAATCAAGAGAAATTTGTTAGATGACCTTTCACAGGTACCCAGCTCCGAGTTGCTCCTCTGGCACAATGGTGTTCTTTATTCTGTTTTTTTTTCTTTTCTCTCCCCCTCTCTCTCTGTTATTAACAAGGGCATGCGGAATGTGACAACGGCAGCATTAACTCTCCTCTTTCCCCCCCACCCACCTGCATGTACATTTTCCTCTTCCTATTGAAACCTAGTTGCATCTTGATTTCTTCTCATCCTTGTGGGCAGGTCTTTGAGTCAGGGCAGCACCAACTCCAATGTGCTGGATTCAGTGCAAGTCGGAGGGCACAAGAAGAGAGTAAGACGCAGCTCCTTACTCAATGCTAAGAAGCTCTATGAGGATGCACAGATGGCTCGGAAAGTAAAGCAGTATCTCTCGAACCTAAACGTGGAGACTGACGAAGAGAAAATCCAAGTAATGTCACTGCAGTGTGAGACCGCCTACAGTACACGTGAGTGCATCATTAGCAAACTTTTTTTTTAATTGTGCGCGATACACCAGTTATATATATTTAGTGATTATTGTGATCATCTGGATATCTGAACTCATGCAGAAATCCATCAATATGTTTTATTAACAAGAGTATCCAAAACAAACAGCATTCCATGCATTCCACCTTTGCGTGTATATATGTATATATAAAATTCTCGAGATATTATTGCAATGTAATGTGGACTTTCTCGCTGGAGGGATACATCCTGCTTCCCCCCTCCCAGGAGAATAGTGTGTAGTTGGTGATTTGACCTCTGCCAATTACGGGTTTGAGCTCTCACTAGGTGGGTGGCAGGTACCAAGAACTCCATGTTCTCGAGGCCAGTGTCCAATGCTACATACTAGTCTTACTCAGCACCAGCTGCTTAATTCAGGACCTCGTGTGAGGGGCTTTGGCAATAGACATGCCAACTCTGAAGCTGACTCTGCCTCCAGGTTGCTCAGTGTCAGGTCAGTGTAGGCAGGAGCCCTCCCTCCCTGCAGCTGCTTCCCCTGGTTGCCACGAACCCACTTCACTGCTTTATCCTAGTCTTTGCAAATAGCTCGGAGGAAACCTCTCCACTATTCAGTGATTTTTAAAAAAAAAAGCTCTTTTGCATCATTTAAATCAGTCTTATTTAATTTCCTGCTGGAAAATATTTGGGAAAACAAGGGCTGGGGGATGTTATAGCAGCATTAAATTTGCCGTTGTTGACCACATATATGGGATTTGCCCTTAGGATTTGGCATCGCCAAAATCCTGTGTGTGACAGTCGCCGCACGTTCGCGTGGCATCTCTTCCTCTCCCGTCAATTCATTATTTTATGCGAATAACGTATGAACCCAGACTGAAATTTATATCACCTTCTTAGAAGCAATGGGAATTGTTTGCAAATTGTTGGCACAATGCCCAGTCGCCAGGTTAACGCTAAACTGGCGTTCCTTGCAGACTAGATTAAGATGCGATGAATCATTTTAAACGGTGTATTGTAACCAAGCCTATTTTTTTTTTGGTGGTGGTAGTGGGCGGGGTTGGGAAGAAATTCAGAAGTCCTTCGTTTTGATCCTTTGTCATCATTACCGAAGAGTTTGTCCACCAGCATCTACATCCTCTCACAGCCGTGGATTGAGCGACTGTGCTGGGGAGTGAGAGAGAGAGAGAGAGTAAAACATCACTTCCAAGTATATCAGAATCGTATTGATACAAGCTGCTTATAAACGCTGCAAGTGTAATCACCCGGGGGTTATAAATCTGAGCAGGGACATCCAATTGGATAAACTTCCAGTGTTATTGATTGGCCCATTCACAGATGATGAAGGGAGAAGCAATCATTCCAGGTATTTATCTTCTGCCAGGTGGCATTACGGTATTAATTTTCCTGGTTAGTGTCAAGGCACTGAGCATATAGTGCCATCAGGTGGTGGGGCAGCTCAATGCAGATCTATTCCACAAATCTATTTTGAAGTCTTACAGTATTCTGTTTCATAGACAACTTGATATAGTACATCTTTGTGTCAATAAAACAAAACCTCGTATCACTGCACAAATGTAGTGCTGACAAAGTATCTCATAAAAGACTTCTTTGTGAACTGCTCACTGGGAATCAAGGAATCCATCACGAGCATGGGTTCAGAATTGTCTGAAGGGAAGGAAGCAGAGGGTCTTTGTAAGGGGAGAAGGTCAAAATCGAGAGACATATCAAAGCGGGCTGTCCCAAGGGGTTTGTATTGTACCCCTTCTGTTGCTCGTATATACTAATGGCCTGGATTCATAGACCCAGTGTAAGATGGTTACATTTGCACCTGACACCCAAGTTGGAGAGAACCGTGGAATCAGAGGAGGCGAACAAAGTCTCACAAAGAGAGTTTGATCGTGCAGGCACATGGGCTGATAGCTGGCAAATGAAGTTTAATACTGATAAATGCAAGGTGCTGCATATAGGATCCAAGAATAGGAAACCCAAGTACTCCATGAAATGGGATTGAACTTGCCAAGGGAGAAGCTGAAAAAGATCTATGGGTGTTTGCTGACCTGTTGCTAACTATGTCGAAACAGTGTGCAAACAGGATGCTGGGCTGTATTGCTAAATCAGTTGAGTTTGCATCTCCTCACATCCTTCTTCTTTCACGTGGAAAGTTGCTGATATCTGTTTTTGTTATTGCAGTGAGCAAGAATTTTGGAGAGAGGCGATCGTATAAAGGTTCAGATATGTCTCCAGTAACTATGAGGTCACCTTGTCATCAAGGAAAGCACCAACCACAGCAACGGATAAGCCAAGTCTTGCAGGTGCCAACGGTGGCTTTATACCCATCCCGCAAGAAATCGCAAGTCAAGGAACTCCCTGCAGTTGGTAATTGTTTCCCTTTTGTGCTCTGTCTGATGATCAATACTTTTAGATCCGGTGTGTGAATCCCACGACTTCCAGGTACAGAGGCAGTGAATTAAGCACAGTATAATTTAGGATTTTTACCCAAAATGCTGATTCTGAAATAGGCAAGTGTCTCTTTAAATCTGAGATTTACACAACTACGTTTTACTCTCTGTTCAGATGTATGTGTGAATTGCAACCCACTAATACATATGTAGTATTCAGTTGATGCAATCACCTGGAGTCGATTCCTGGCAGGACAAAACGTTGGGCAAATTTCCTTACTCCACACGCCTCTGTTTGCCTAGCAGTAAGTTAGTCGGTTGTTAGTCGATTGGCGGATCGCTTTTCCAAGGGTAATAATCCCTTCAAAAAAAAAGAATAATTTGGTCAATAATTTTCCTGATTAGTGTCAAGGCACTGAGCATATACTGCCATCAGGTGGTGGGGCAGCTCAATGCAGATCTAATCTACAAATCTATTTTGAAGTCTGTCATATTCCATTGTATAGACAACTTGATACAGTACACCTTTGTGTCAATAAAACAAAACCTCGTATCACTGCACAAATGTAGAGCTGACAAAGTGTCTCACAAAAGACTTCTGTACGAACTGGTCACCGGGTATCAAGGGTAAGACGTGAGCCGTCCGAGCCAGGCAGATACAAACGCACACGGAGGTTCTCGCTATAGCACAGGCTTAATCTCAGGATGGGGTAAAAGAATACACCCTGTACTTCCATGTAGAACTGAGCTTCCTTTTGAAAGTCGTCTTAACCAAACCCGACCATCTCCTGTTTCTCAGCAGGGTTGCGTTATCTTTCTGATTTACACTGGATCCTGTTATAAGGCAGTAGTTGGGGTGCATATAATCTCTACCAACTTTATAGCAAAGGTTACTGGATTGTTTGCATTGTTATGACACTGATCGACAACGTGCATTTATTCAGTGCCCTTCACCCAGGGTAGTGTCCCGGAGTGCTTTGATCACATCACTGCACATCCGAAATTGGGGGAGATGATATAAATGGATGGGGACGGAACAACAGGGATGGAACAGGACCATTAAAATAAATAGCCCCGTATTAATTGTGTTTCCTCAGGCTCCAATTCCCCACAGTCTACAAAGAAGAATCTGGCCTTGTCTGAGGACATACCAACAGACACATGTAAAAAAAATGCAGAAGATGCCATGTCAACAGCATCATCGCAACTCTCCACACCTCCCGTGTCTCCTCAGAGTTCTCCCCGAAAAGGTAATGTTCCACCGTGTCATTCCATTCCTAGAGCACTATAGGCTCCCGATTCATTGGTTAGCGAGAGACCCAGGTTCGATTCCCGGCAGGGTGAAATGTTGGGCAAGTTTCCTTACTCCATACGTCTCTGTTTACCCAGCAGTAAGTAGAAACCCGGTTGTTAGTCGCTTGCCAAATCGCTTTTCTGGGGGTAAAAAAAGATAATACTAGTAAATTGGTTACTCAATCCACCACTGTTTGTGGGACGCTGCTGTGCTCAATTGACTGCCGTGTTTCGCCCACAGAATATACAGTCAATTCATTTTGCAGTATATTCTCTGAAGTGTTTTGAGACGTCTCGAAGACATGAGAAGGAGTCCTGTAGCTCAGTGGTTAGAGCACTCGCTTTGCAAGCGAGAGACCTGAGTTCAATTCCAGGCAGAGGGTGAAACCTTGGGCAAGTTTCCTTACTCCTCACGCCTAATAATAATCCCTCCAAAACAAAACACAATAATAAATTGGTCATTTTCAATCTACGACTGTGGGACATTGCTGTGCGCAATTGGCTGCCGCGTTCGCCCACAAATATACAGTCAATTCACGTTACAGTATATTCTGTGAAGCGCTTTGGGACGTCTAGAAGACGTGAAAAGCGCTATATCAAATGCAAGGATTATTATTATATAAAATGCAGGGATTATTATTATTACTACACCGCGGCCATAAGTTTTTGTTTCGAAAAATGAAATTTGAAAAAAAAATGTTTTTATTTCGACACCTAACAATCGAACCACAGAGTCGGTAACATTTGTCTTGTTAAAGTTATGTTTATTTGATGTTGGAATCCCAAAAATGCAATTACATTATGTTGCAAAACTGGCAGCACTTCCTCATTACTGCACAGGAGTTGTTATAAATTGAGGCCTGGAGTGGGGCTGGAACTTGTATCCTTCTGACTCAGCTGTGTCAGTGCTACCAGTTGTGCTCAATTTATGAAGCCATTAATATTCCCACCCGCTTATTGAAAAGAACATTGCCTTGCTTTGGGAGACAAGCTCAGTTTTGAAGAACAGACAATTCCACTTTGGAGGCATCCAGTTGCTTGCTCGGTAAATGCCACATCTGCAACAGAGTGAGTGGTGGCGATGAGGTTTTTGTGCAGATTACCAACAACAATTTGCATTTACATAGAGCCTTTCTCATAGCTTATCGACTCAAGGGAGAAGGAAAATTAGTTCATTAACATGGGAAGAATTGTCTGGTCTTGAAAACTTTGGAATTATTTCAAGTGGTGTTGCTGACTAAATAGTATTCTGGATGGCTGTTATCTGAGGATTAACATAAGTTAACATTCTTATAATGTTGTAGCCCCCTTTGGTGCTCTCCAACTCTCACACTTTTCTCTTGCCCCAATTTAATTCCTAGAACAAGATTAAGAACTGCTTCTTTCCTAGTTAAGATTGATAAATTTGCAGGACCTGATGGTTTCCACCCCAGGGTATTAAAAGAAATAGGGGAGGAAATTGCAGATATATTAGTCACAATTAATCCAAAGCTCTCCATATTTGGGGGATTTCCTTGGATTGGAAAATCGCAAATATCATTCCATTATTTGAGAAGGGAGGGAGAAACCAGGTAACTACAGACCTATCAGCTTAACCTCAGTTGTGAGGAAGTCACTGGAATCTCTCAACAGGGAGAGAGCATTTGGGTAAGTATGAGCTAATCAAAGAGAGTCAGCATGGATTTGTGAAGGGTAGGTCATGTCTGATGAATCTAATTGAATTTTTTGAGATCATAAACATGGTGGATAAGAGAAAATCTGTGGATTTCGTCTATAATGGATCTTCAGAAGGTATTTGATGAGGTTCCGCACAAGAGATTATTAGCAAAAATGAAAGAGCGTGGAATCGGAGGTAACCTTGCGATGTGGCTTAATAATTCTTTGGGAGGCAGGAAACAGAGAGTAGGGATAAAGGGAACGTTCTCTGATTGTCGGGACGTGACACACGGTGTTCCCCAGGGGTCTGCACTGGAGCCTCAGCTTTTCACCATAAATGTAAATGACTTGGATGAAGGAATAGAGAATTTTATATCCAAATTTGCAGGCAACACAATGTTAGGAGGCACAGTACGTTGTGCAGATGGGAGCAGGAAGTTACAAAGGAACTTGGACAGATTAAGTGAGTGGGCGAAACTGTGGCAGATAGAGTTCAATGTGGGGAAGTGTGAGGTCATCCACTATGAATCCAAAAATCACAAAACAGAATATTTTCTTTATGATGAGATACTTAAGAATTGTGGAGGAGCAAATAGGTGGATATAGTTAAGGTATTGTTTTTCAATAAGAAAGGGAACTGGGACCCAAAATGTTATAATTGGATCGGCAATGCAATTTTATCTTTTATGTATAAACTATTTCTGCTTCCTGTTTCTGTCAGGCGATAGTGTGCTAAGGTCGCAGAATCTATGCAGCTCCTCTTCCCTTACGAGTGAGGGCAGCAACAGGAGCACTGTGGAACGGACACGTGGCATAGGCGGTATCTATTTGCAAAAGAAAATTCAGGAGATCACGGGCTTGACTACAGGCAGCACAGACACAGGCGAACTCCCAGAAACGAGAGGCCAAGGGGAGCAGGAATCCAAAAGTAGAAAGAGAATGAGGTCTCCTTTCAGGAGGTTCAGAGAAAGAAGTTCCTCTAGGGACAGGCTGGCCTCGGCGAGCGGTAAAGAGGCAAAAGGAGCCGCAGAAAGTAAAGCAGGTGGTTCAGAGATAGGAGCTGCGGCAACTGCGGGAACAGATGACACTGGCAGCTCTAGTTGTAATATCAGCTCTAGTAACCGGCCATTTGACTGGCTATACCCCAGGATGTTGAGGCACAAGAGAAGGAAAACGATATGAGTTGTTGCTTTTCTAGAACAAGGACATTTCATTAGCACCAGGACTGCTGTTATCCAGAGTGAAAGGATTGGCTGGCGGGACTGAATAAAGCCTTTTCAAAGCAATATCAGTCGGTAACGTTTATTTCCTTGTATAAAATGTGAAGGACAGTTTACCATGAAAGTGTATCCATTTTGTGCTGGATGATTTTCCAACACAAAGTTAAAATCTTAAAAACAAAGCGATACGTTTCTCTTACCCTCCTCCCCAATAGTCCCCAAGGTAGTCTTGTGAGCGACAGATAGGTCCCAGAATCGATAGCTGATCTGTTCTGGGTTTGACCATTTCAGCTACAGCAGTATTGGTGCGAGAATTGATCCCTGGATTAGGGAAGGGAAACTTAGCCAGGATTTCTACTCCTGATCCCTCTTTAGTGACCCCTGCAGAAGATGAAGCCTGTCTGAATATTGGGTGAGGTGTGAATGAAGCTCAGTTGTGATGACACACAGACTAAAATAGCCTGACAGCACTCAGTGTTGAGGCTTGCATGTGAAGAATAGTTACTTGGGCAGGTAACAGGGTGACCAGTGCCCAGTGAAACATCCATAAAGTGATTGGATTCAATCACTGAGGAAAGTTGAAAAATAGTTGCCGTAACTACTGTTTCTAAACGGGCATTGCGAGGGCATTCAGGCGACTTGTCCTCGGTTTAGCTTGATGTGCTGTTGCTCTGTAACTGACTGCTGGGAGATACCTCCGAGTTCACCTCTCTCTCCCCCTCCCCCTTCCAGGTGATTTTCCCTCCCAGTTTCTTTGTCCTATACACCACTATACAGAACCATTCCACAACTGTAGTGACTGAGATTGAATTATCTGTTTATAAAAATAATAGTATAATATAGTAGCACTGAGTGTGAGTACTGTCCTTCACATATCAAATGCAAAAAGTCCTTGCTTTCCTGTGGCACAAGAAGCACATTGCTCTTGCAGTGAATGTTGTAAACTATTCTAATATAAATGAGTATTTTGTTTTTATTTTGTACAGTGAGATTCATAAACCAGTAGAATTTCAGTGTAATGTGTTGCTGGGTTTCTCTCTTTAGCTGTTAGTTAGTGACTAGTTGTTGAAAGTACAGGAAATATTGTGTGTTTGTGTGTCCATTTTGTCCATCTATGGTTGTGCATTATAGATTGCGATAGTTATAAATTAACTGTTGGGTTTTGGATCTGTCATCTCTATTTATGTAGATAATGGGTGTAGATAAAATGGGAGTATTCTTGTAAGTGGAATAATGCAAGGTAATAAAAACAGACCACTGCCAGGAAGATATTCAGATTTCCAAAGAATTCACTTGAAAAGGGCAGAGGCAGCAGGAACAAATTAACTACTTCTCTTTTTTTTTACTCTTTTTGCACATTTTCTTGAATGCGGTAACTTGGTAAGTGGTAATGCTGGAATAAACTTCCTTAATTGGTAGGAACCTTGCAATACGTTGCCCAAGAGGTCAATATGTGCAAGTTGAGATTTTAAGTATTGGTGGATTGTTTTACTGCAGAGATATCCTGTCCTCACAAGACTGGACTGGATTAAGAAGGCCCTGACGGCTTTCCTCATCTGATCTCATTCTTCCAGAACACCCACATGCTGTTCCCCCATAACTGTACCAAGCTGCATTATACATTAGTGTCCTGGCCTCTATCACCTTTCCAGGCAAACCTGTTCCAGTTGTTGATTGCCCTCTGCGTAAAGAAAACTACCCGGTATCTGGCCTTAAATTGCCCTTCGCAATTCTAAACCCGTGTCCTCTTGTGTACGTTCTTTGTCAACTCTTCGAACGTTGAACTTTCCAGTTGCATAATTAGCCTAGAGAAGGAAAACACTCGAACTTCCTAGTCATGATCACTTCCAAATCTTTTGGAAACTCAAAAGTGAGCACTGTATGATATCAAGTGGGGAGACAATCAGCTTAATTGCGATGCCCATCAATAGTTGAATAGTCAGTCAGACATCATCTACGAAAAATTGTAATTTGGGCTTGGCCAAGATGAACCCAGGTTGTTGGTCGATTGCTGGATCGCTTTTCCGGGGAGTGCTATTCCCTTCAAAAAAAAGAAATAATAATAATTTGGTCACTCAATCCACGACTTCGTGGGACGCTGCTTTGCGCAACTGGCTGCCGTGTTTCGCCCTCAAAATATGGTCAATTCAGTTTACAGTATATTCTGCGCTCTGAAGCGCTTTGAGACATCTCGAAGACAAGTATAGCGAGTGGGAACATGTGAGGAAATAAATATTCTAATGATTTTTTAAAACAATGACTGCCACATGATAGAACTGAATAAGTGGAACATAATAAGTGGAGAGTTTGCGTAAAAGACATACTCCTATGTAAGTACTCAAAACAAAAATGTTGACCTTTCATAACGTTTGTGAATGATTGACCGTTTTGACAAGTTGGTTGGTCATTAGATTTAAAATCAATGTTTTTATACTTTAGTAGTGCCGAGGAGAGCGAGCCGTTGCATGAGATTGAATAGTGGGAAGCTGCATGTTGGTGAGTGGGCAAGTACAGTATAACTCGTGGTAATATACGGTAGCTAGAAGAGAAATCGAGCCACATCAAAAGCCCTCAGGAGAGCCTTGCGCACCAAAGGTTTTTAGTACTTTCAGAAGAAAGGGCGTGATGAGATGAAAAAAAATAAGTAGGATGGAAGGAGACTTCTGTCACCTGGTGCTGAGTCCATATTCTGTGCACATTCTGATGGTACAGTTACACAGTACGATTTGTGCAAAGCAGTTTTTACATTGCACTCGCACGATATGAGTCCTATAACAGCGAAAGTCATTTTAAATTGGGATTTTTTTTTCCAGGCTTGGAAGAAGTGACTTCATATTAAGTGCGAAGCCATATTTTGAAACAATTTCAGGTGGCACATTGGTACAGCTTTAAAAGGCAACTTCAAGAATTAGTGACGAAAAAGAGCTGGCAATCCAGTTAACGCTTTTATAACTTCAAAAACATCACTGGAGAGTCCCTGTGAACAAAACCTTGCTCGTTTATCAGCTTACCAGGAGCTCTGATGAGCACACAATGTGGGGTGGGGGGGCAGTGTTATTCTGCACCGGTTGTTAACTTCAATCACATTCACTAATCGTGCTGCCTGATGTGTTTGTTCAGCTTTCAACCTAGCACCCATTACAAGGACGGACAACTTCTCCGACTCAAGCCACAGTGAGATATCATCGCGCTCCAGCATCGTCAGCAACTGCTCTGTTGATTCCATGTGTGCCACGACGCAGGATGAGAGGTGCTTCCATCCATCAATTGATATCCCGGACACGGTGGAAGAGGTTGGAGGAACCAATGTGCCATCAGCGGTAAATTCCCATCAATCCTACACAAGGTGAGAAAAGCATGTGTAACTTTGGAAGTTGGGAATCATACTAACTGCACAGTAATAACAAAGTTAGATGAACTTCAACATAATAATAATGCTTGCATTTGATATAGCGCCTTATTACGTCTTTGAGACGTCTCAAGAACCCTGATTTAATTGAATAATTGCACTTCAATTGGAATCACACAGTGTTTGGCACATGTTTGTAGAGGCTGGGCAACAATTCGCTGGTATGATTTAAGAGTAAATTTTGGTACCGGGCAGAGATCGACCACAGACAACTATTTATGATTTGTGTAACACTCGAGTTTATTCAAATTGTTCAAGAAGAAAAAATCCTCAGAGAGTCTCAATTACTTCAGCGGATCCAGGGTTTGAGAATGTAATCGCTACTTTTTGTGTGCAAGAAATAATTACAGCAAACCCCCAGCTTATCAGACTCTGTAACCGCAATTCGTACCTAGCCAGACCGGGCCTGAAATGGAAAGGTTAAAACAAAATCTCTGCATAAAACTCCCACTAACCTAGTACATACTCCCGACTCACAGTCCTTACTGGCCTTCAGGGATATCAACTTTGACTCAGTTTGATTCACAGAAGATTAATAATAATAATCCTTGCATTTGGTATATCGACTTATCACGTCACGTCGTTGAGGCATCTCAAAGCACTTCACAGGATATACTGTAAAGTAAAATGGATTGACTGTATTTTGTGGGCGAACACAGCAGCCAGTTTGCACGCAGCAAAGTCTCACAAACAGGCATGCAGTGAGTGACCAATTTTATTTGAGAGATTATTGGCCAGGACACCGGGAGAAACTCCCGTCTCTTTTCGAATAGTGCCATAGTATCTTTAACCCAGGTCCATCTCACATCAAGTAATGAAGAGTTGGCCCAAGAACACAATGACCACATTATTATTATTATTATATCACTTGGCGCATCAAACAGAGGCTGTGGAAGCTGGAATTCCTACTCCAACAGCTCCCATGACATCTTCCAGATAATCCAACATAATACTGAATGCAATTAAATATACTCAGACTTTAGCTGGCCATTGCAGAAATTGAACTGATGGACCATAGGCTGTCACTTGCACTCTAGACACATGACTAAAAGTAGTAGTCTGATTCAGTCTAAAGACACCATTGAATGTGTTCTTTCCAGGGAAAGCTGGGCATCTTCAACAAGTTCTCATTTGGGCAAGTTTGCATCAGACACTGGAACCATAAAACGGATAGGCTTGCACGAAACCAAAGATGGAACACCTGTGTACAGCGCAGCTATCTCAGACTCTAAGCCAAAAGTTGACACCTCTTACAAAGCTGTTACTTCAAGCACAGAAAAAGGTCTTATAGGTAAGAAAATCTGCATATTTGTCAAAATCTGCAAATTGTCTTGTATATCCTATGTAATTTAAATCTGGTATGAAATGACAGCAGGTACAGTATTCAGGATGGCTTATAAGGAATTTGATATATTTCAGGCAGTTTTGGTTCTGTTTTCAAATATGAAACAAAATATAAAACATTTTATTTGACTAGGATGTGTGAAAAGTATTTGATTGGTTAAAAATAGTGAAGCTTGAGGGGGAAAGGAAATAGGAGGGAGTGAGGTGAATGGAGACACGTGGAGTGTAAACACCGACATTGACTAGTTGGGCCAAATAGTTTGTTTCTGTGCTGTGCAATCTATAAATATTAATAATAATCCTTGTATTTGATATGGCGCTTTATCATGTCGTTGAGACATCTCAAAGCGCTTCACAGGATAGACTGTAAGGTGCATTGATGTTACAGTGGTTTTGTGGTCAAAATGTATGTAAATATATGTTAAGATGAATAACACTATAATAATAATAATCCTTGCATTTGATATAGCGCTTTTCACGTCGGGAGGACGTCCCAAAGCGCTTCACAGAACACATTGTAAAGTGAATTGACTATATTGTTGGGCGAACGCGGCAGCCAATTGCGCACAGCAATGTCCCACAAACAGTCGTAGATTGAAAATGACCAATTTAGTTTTGTTTTGGAGGGATTATTATTAGGTGTGTGGAGTAAGGAAACTTGCCCAAGGTTTCGCCCTCTGCCTGGAATTGACCTCAGGTCTCTCACTTGCAAAGCGAGTGCTCTAACCACTGAGCTACAGGACTCCACAGGACTGTAAAGTGGCATGGAGTGGTAGAGAGAAAATGCTTTCGATAATGGATGAAGGCAGTAATTCAAACGCTTATTAGAATGGTTATTCTGTCAGGAGTTGCAAATGTCATAATCATAACCCTATGGCTGATTGACTGCCTATCACATTTTGCTCAAATAGGCCACTTGGGTTCTTGGGGATTTTCGTAAAAAGTCTCTTTTACCATATGTACCAAAATTATGTAGCCAAAGTGTTTCTTGAACCAGAGTCTCTAAGCTTGATGCCCAACAGCCTGGAGATCTCTCTCTTATCACAAGGTTATTTATAAAGTAAAGGGTTGTTACCTCCTTAGCCTTTATGAAGTGAATTGACGTATATTTTGTGGGCAAATCAGTAGAACAAATCCAGAGAATGTTTGGTGTAACAGGAATATCATTCCCTGTGACTTATAACAAGAATCAAGATCTGTCTCTATGGGAATAGTTTCCGAGACCATTCCCAGTCAAGTTCTCAGTTTTTTTATAGAAACTTCTCCAAATCAATCCTTGGCTAATTACTAGGTTGGTTACTAGTTTAATCAATGGATCAACATTCTCTCCTGTTTCCTATCCCTGAGCTTGAACTTCCTACAGGATCTGTGCCATCCTTTCAAGCTGTGTCCCAGCAGTCCCCAAACCCCAGACAGGGCAGGTGTACACCCATGTGCTATCCCAACCTGTGTTTGTTATTAAAATCCCTGGCAAATGCAGCAGCCATTTTACACACACCGATGTCACACGTATAAGAGATCAAGCGACTCTATGGAGATTGTTGGCCAGGACACAGGGAAGAAACTTCTTTCTCTTTAAATAATGGCCGATATCTTTAACAACCACCTGACAGGCAGACGGACCTCAGTCTACATACTTAGAATTTCATGTACTGTTACAGTACGGAATCACACCATTCACCCCAAATATCCTTCACCCCCACACACACACACACTATGGACTAACTTCCACCTCTCCTAATCCCCTCTCTTCATTCTAACAACCCTCTATTCACTTCTCCCTCATGTATGCAACAGTTTAACATCTTATCAGAAGGATGGTACCATCAACAATGCAACAACAAAAAAAAGCACAAATTACAGGAGGACGTCCCAAGGTGCTCCTTCGGTACTGCATTGGAAAGTCAGCTTGGACAATGAGATCAAAGTCTCCACATGATTTTGAATAACCCTCTAACTCAAAGGGGAGAGTGCTACCAACTGAGCCAGGCTGACAGAGGTAGCATAGTTTGAGCGCACCAGAATCGGCCTCCATATTCTCAGGGTAGGGAGAGGTGGGGTGCCTCCTGCTGGAAGGTGACATTGTAGACTTTGGGTAAGGGTAGAATTGGGATTACAACAACAACTTGCATTTATATTGTGTCCTTCACACAGGGTAGAGTCAGGTTTCCGTGCTGCTCATAGCACAGAAACTGCCCTGGTCAAGGTCACCAATGACATCCTGACCATCTGTGACCAGGGCTCCCTCTGTCTCCTCGTCCTCCTCGACCTATCGGCAGCATTCGATACGGTCGACCACACTATCCTACTCCACCGCTTGTCCTCCCACCTCAACTTTCAAGGCACTGTCCTTGAATGGTTTAGGTCGTACCTTTCTCACCGTCTTCACTTCGTCTCAACGAATGGCTTCTCCTCCACCCCCCGTACTGTCTCATGTGGTGTCCCTCAGGGCTCTGTCCTCGGTCCCCTCCTCTTCACCCTCTATATGCTCCCCCTTGGTGACATCATCCGCAAACATGGGGTTAACTTCCACATGTATGCGGATGACACCCAACTCTACCTTTCCTCCTCTACTCTCAACTCCACGACCACCGATGTCCTGACAGCCTGCCTGTCCGACATCGAGTCCTGGACGAGAGACAACTTTCTTCAGCTCAACGTGCAAAAAACCGAGGCCCTCCTGATTGGCTCACGTCAGCGCCTCCGCACCTCAGGCGCTGACACCATCAGCATCCAAGGCTGCACTCTCCACCTCTCAAAGCCAGTCAGGAACCTCGGCGTTTTGTTCGACCCTGAGCTGTCCTTTCTCCCTCACATCCGCACCACAACTGGCACCGCCTTCCATCACCTCCGGAATATCGCCAGATTACGGCACTACCTCACCCCTCACGCTGCTGAAACCCTGGTTCACGCCTTTGTCACCTCAAGGCTGGACTATGGGAACTCTCTCCTCGCCGGCCTTCCCGCCACCTCCCTCCACAAGCTGCAGGTCATTCAGAACTCTGCAGCTCGTGTACTGTCCCGCACCAGGCTTCGGGACCACATCACTCCCACCCTCGCTCGCCTCCACTGGCTCCCCATCCCCCAGAGGATTGATTTCAAGATCCTCATCCTCACCTACAAGGCCATTCACGGCCTTGCTCCCTCCTACCTCTCCAACCTACTATCCCCCTACCTACCTGCCCGTACCCTCCGTTCCTCTGGCTCCGGTCTGCTCCACGTCCCCCGCCCCAACCGCCCTACTATCGGTGGTCGGGCCTTCAGCCTCTCAGCCCCGAGGCTCTGGAACTCCATCCCCCAGTGCCTTCGCCTTGCTTCCTCCCTTTCCTCCTTCAAGGCCGGTCTCAAAACCTTTCTCTTTGACCGTGCCTTCAGCTCCCCTCTCGACTCTCTTCCTCCTCCTCGCTCCCTCCCTTCCCTCCCCTCACCCTGACCATTTCCCCCTCCTCTCTCCCTCCCTTCCCTCCCCTCACCCTGACCATTTCCCCCCTGCTCGGGTCATGACCCAACTGTGCAGCGCCTTGGGACGTCCTCCTGACGTGAAAGGCGCTCTATAAATGGAATCTTGTTGTTGTTGTTGTTGTTGTTGTAGAGTCCTGGAGCGCTTAAATTAGTTTCTCCCCCAACCCATTAATCAATAGTTTCAAAGATTGCACAGAAAAAAATGAATATTTAGGTGTGGTATTACAGGAATACAGGGAACCCCAGATCAATATTGGATCTCAGCAAAGGTCACTTCCTCCGTAGAGGGTAAGAGTAACGTTTCATACAACAAAAGGTTGTCCACAGAAGATCAGTGACTTCAGGCTTTGAGATGACCATGAGAAACAATTATTAATTTAGAGGAGCTCAACAATAAAATAATTCAACATGTATTCAGTTATTTATCATATTTCATGTTGTAATATTGCTTTATTGAAAGTCAATAAATCTCATAATATATCTGTTATGCCCAGAAGTGTTCATTCCTAGGAATACACAGGTTTAAAACTTGAAAATGATAATAATCCTTCCTGTCTTGTAATCCCTTGAATGTTTTAACTTTGACAAAAAATGATTGCCACTGATGATAGAATAGAATCTGTCAGTGAGAGAATTACAATAAGTTTATTGATCGTCGTTTTGAGTTTTGTTGAAACACAGATTGATTCTTTGCTTGTATTCAAGGAGGTCTCGGTATAAAATGTGTTTTGATTTTAAAAAAAAGATTTTATAGGTGGGATAATGAGAGTGAATGCGACTGAAATATTGGATTTTCATCTAATGTTTGTATTTCTTTGGTTAACTCACTTAGTTATGTCAAATTTGAGATTAAATCAAATTCCATGCTAACCTACTGTGAGGTTATTGTTGAAGATGAGAGATGTTTTCGAACCTCAGTACACAGCACTGCAGTTTCCATTCTGGGAGAGTTGCTGTTCGCACATCTCTTGAGACTTAGATATGGAAAGATTGGTTGCCTGGTCATTGGCATTTCCAATAAATTAGAAAGATTCATGCCCGCACTAAATTCCTCCTCATCCCCTCTTTCCCTTGCCCACCCTCATCCCCAAATGTTGGACTGGATTGTTTTGCTATCTCACTTAGTCAATAATCAATATCATAAGGAGGAAATGTGTGGCAGGCCGATCCAGACTGAAACGACTGGGTTTGTAAGGCTTGAGGAGGTCACATAGATGGATTGGGGCAAGACCAGGGAGAGATTTAAAGGTTAGAATGAGGATCTTGAACTGGTTTTAGATTAGATTATGCTGCTGCTGCTGTTGTCATTTCATCCAGTTTACATATTGTCATTTTATATTCCTTTACTAACCTCCTAACATTTCATATCTTTGTATAATTTTTGTCTCTTTTTTTCGTTTTCATGAATCTCATTAACATTAACAATGATTATTTCTTATACTAGTGTATTGTGTTACTGCAGCACAAAGGGACGGTAGGTATAGAGAGCCACCGCCCACCCCACCAGGATACGTGGGAATTCCAATAGCAGATGTTAAGGAAGGAGGACGTCACCATCCACACTTAAAACCTCCAGACTATAATGTGGCTTTGCAAAGGTCGCGGATGGTACCACAGCCATGCGACCCAACAAGACCAGCGGTTCCCATTGCTAGCCAACCTACTTCAAGCAAGCAACCTAGAGGGCCGGGCCATCCACAGTGGCGTAAACTCTCTGAGACCGATCCTAGACTAGTTCAACTTAACCATCAAGATCTTCAAGGTAACGAAGATGATGGTAGGTCAGACATTCTTAGAACCCTTAGAAACAATATAAGTCGCCTCCGCTAGCGAATCATTTTTTAATTTAAATTAATTTCAGCGCCCTCTTGGGACGACCTCCTGGCGTGAAAGGCGCTATACGAATGTAAATTGTTGTCGTTAATTGATGTCACTTGCAACCAGGCATTTCTTAGAGTGATGAATTTACTTACTCATCTTAATTGTAATGAGTAATATAAAGAGCCATCTGTTTAACTGTAGTAGTGTATTGTGAAGCGACCACAAGGGATCTAAAATGTCACTGATGTTCAAGTGAAATCTTTTAAAGTTGCACGTTAAAATCATTTTTGTCTGTTTCTCCTCCGATTTTCCAAGACTTGTACCAGTTGCAACCATAAGAGTGTATGGCGTGATCTATTTACAGAACTCAAACTGAAAGGTTTTAAAATTCTAAATAGGAATTTCTATTTTTTATATTAAATGTTTGAACTTTCCAAATTCCTGAATATTACAAAATGAAGCATATATATATACATATACCTTAAATGTTATTGCTGAACTTTTGCTTTATCTGTTTAATGATCTCATAGGTTAGTTCATTGAAAAAATTGTTCAACCAATTGCATGTATGCCCCTGGGACAGTGGTACAGTAAACAGCTACAAACTTTTATAGTAATAATAATCCTTGCTTTTCATATAGCACCTTATCACGTCGTCACAATGTCTCAAGGGGCTTCACAGAATATATTGTAAAGTGGATTGATTATTTTGTGGGCGAAATGTGGCAGCGAGTTGCGCACAGTAAAATTTTAAGATGTAGGATTCAATGTTGAACAGGCGAGCAGACAGATAGCAAATGAAGTTTAATGTAGGAAAATGCAACGTACAGTGAAACTCTGATAACTTGCCCCTGGATAAGAAGGATATGAGAGAGAGTAAGGAATGGGTGAAGACTCGTGTGGAGTATAAACACCCATACGGACTGGTTGAGCTGAGTGGCCTTGTTTCCATGCTGTACATCCTTTGTAATTTTTGTTCTGGATTTGCAGCACTAGGTTTTTAAGGAGAGAATTCTTTTTGGCATTTCCAAGCAGAACGCATCGACTGCTCAGTGCCTGTGTACGCCTCTGCCACCGTGCCAGAGAAACTGGGCGATTGCTCTCCCCTTAATCTTCCTTGTCCCAGTAAGGATGTACCTCACTTCAGCTTAGCGCTTCCCTCACAGTGACAAAGATCAGCAATTCAGCGTGTGGGAAGATCTTGGCATAATGTCACTATTCACCACTCTGTGGCGCTGCCTGTTACTCTCCACCACTACACGCATCTCCAGGAATAAAATATAAATGTTTGATTTGTGAAGTGCACCCAGAGATGCACAAGCGAAAGATGAGACATTTTACCACTCGAAGGGTATATTTGCAAGCAACTAACTGCACAGTCACCCCACGCTGGTAACGGGACCAGGGAACCAGTCACCCATTTGGGAAGTAAATTAAACTTGGTTGTGCTTACAGTTATTTATTTGTTCCTGCCTCATATGACTTATAGGCATATATATATATAAGACATATGACTTATCAGTTCTTTAAGTTGGACTCTGGTTTAACTGTTCTATCTCGATTTAGTACAGCTACAATGATCATCACAGGAAGGTGTAATTCAATTTCCTAGACGTACAGTTTTCATTTGAAAAGCTAATTTGAGCTCAAATGAAGCTACTGCAGTGATTACAGCCTTACCTTTTACTATTCTTATTCCTATATCTTGAAATATTCTTCCGTTTTCAATTGCAACGCACATTTCATTTTGAACCTCATTTTATTTGCTGTTAAGAATACTTATTTTCTCCACATTTGAAATCCAAATGTTTCCTGAGACTTCATATTGTGAGATTGATTTATTCTCCTTGGCAGGTTGATTCAGGCGATTTGTTGTAATCGAATGTGCTGCAAAGCCATGTGTCTTTGGTGACCAAAAAGTTACAATGTCTAATAAGTCTTAGAGAGTTTTTTTTTAGATAATAGGGTAGATATCACCACTTTTTGGTTACCCTGTATAACCTGAGTAATCAGGAAATTGCCTAGAGTTTCAACTAGACAAGTCGGTCTGATTTGGAGGTACATTTGTTTAGCAAATCCCATATTGCAGTCTTTGTCCAAACACTATTAGGATGGGCTTGTTACATGTTTGTCTAGTTATGGACATTGTTGTGTCTACGCTGATGTAAAACACACTGAAGCAGGTTCCATTGCTGTCTTTATCATTTTAAACTGAACCTGTATTGCTCTTAGTGATGAAGTCACAGTTAATGAATTGTTAACTCTTCGGTGTGAAATTGGCCCTTGTCATCGATAGTTCAATAATTAAAACAAAATTGGCACAAAACTGAATACAATTACGCCATGCTGTGTGTGATATGTGTGTACAAAATATCATTTGCTTATTTATAGTCCATGAACTAACCTGGAGCTCCAGCTCTGACTGTTATACTCACATTGCTGCCTGGATTTTGTGTTTTAGATTATTGTCTTTACGTGTGTGTATGTATATATAAATATATATATAGTTTTGCACTCCCTATCCTAATCCATGTAATTATGTGTGTTTATAATGAATTACAAATGCAAAGGAGTACAATTGGGTAATTGTAGATTAAACATTCGTGTAGTTAATTAATAATGAAATATCTTCTCCATTTTACAGAAGATGAACAGGTTTCTGCGGTCTGAATGTTTCAGTTTACTTTGCGAAATCAACGCAGGACCTGTTACGGACCACATTGCTCTATTTCCACACTGCAGGCAGCTGTTTTACACCTTCTTTCGGCCTTAAAAGTATGTCCTGTGTGCGAGTGCTGTCCTGCATGAGACGAAACAGTGAGAACTTGTCTGTGTTGTTTTAGTGAACAGAACCTGAATATATCTTCAATCTCAAAACAGATACAACAAAAGTTCTATCCTGGTATTTAATTAAGGTCCTGTCCCTGGTATATTTTGTCTCTTGCCAAATTATTTTTTTAATTTTCAAAATGTTAGATGTTTGGCTGTTTAATGAAATTTAATTTAAAAAGTTGTAAGTAAATGCAGCCATGTGCATAACTGGAATATGACCATAGATGGTGTACAAATAACTAGACTGGTTTTGGCGAGATGTCATTGAACTCATTTGAAGCTGTACAGCTAAACAACTCTACTCTGTTATAAATTGCAGTCCAATTCAGTGACTCTTCAATATATATATATCATGAATTAGATAAACAATTCAATTCAGAATAATATGATTTAGTGTCAATATTTATACAGAATGTTCACTATATTGATGTGCAGATTGCAGATTTGTTTCACGGTTCCATGGACAGTTCCATCCACGCTCAATTCTGGTGCATTTCTGCGTTCTGGGAATACACAATCACACGTGGTATAAATCCAGATTACTGAAGCTTGATGGCCACAAGACCGAGGCCTATCTTAAATAAGTTGGCCGTTGGCAATATGTTCTCCACTACACCAAGCCTCAAAGCCAATGATGGTCTGTTTGTATCTCAAAGGTTGTTGTTAGGAAATGAAGCACGTTGGAACACCGATCACTTTTGTGTGTGTGCGTGTGTGTGTGTGCGTGCGTGTGTGTGAGTGAGTGTGGGGAGGTGGTGTATATGGAGGCTCCAGTATTTGTTTGGGACGATGAGTGTTGCTGGTGGGGAAATATATTTCACTCTATTTAAATAGATCATTTACATCAATAATCTTTGTGTTCGGAAACAAATTCCATCTTCTCCCACAACACTGCTAATGATCAAATTAATCATCAGCTCCTAGAATAACGTCTTCAGAAAATCCACTCTTTATAAAATGACTTTCTGATGATCTAGTTATTTGTATATGTATATGTTCATATGTGTAAGTAAAATAACTATATTTTCGTCAACAGAAACCTCCAAAATCTTGATTTCTTATACTGGCCCGTTGTAAATTACTTGACTTTTTTAAATGCATTTATTGTGACGCTGTTGTCTACACCTTAATTGGTGAAGAGTTTACAATATGATCAAAGTTATTGTATTTAATGATTTGTTTTGCCAGAATTAGTTCCATTTTCTGGATTGTGATTGGCCATCAATTGTAATTAGGAATCTTGACAACAATTCCTTGTGCCTTTATTTAATAGTTGGGCTGCAAGATTTCTGAAGCAATGTATTAAATGATTTTTAAACAACTGAAACAAAGACAGTATTAAAAAATGGCAGAAACTTTTTTCTTAAGTAAGTTCCTGCCCCCACAAATGTAAATAAATTGAGATATAAAAATTAAGAAAAATGTAAACCTGATTACTTTTCCATTTATGCAGATTAAACAACGTGGCTTGCATCAGTTTGTCCTGCTCTGCGACTCTTTGGAAATTTAGCTGATCATATTGATCAGTACATTAAAAAAGATTGTGTAGTGTTTAAAAGTAGCAGCCTATTAGTGCTTTATTTAAACATAATTTAAAACTCCTCAGTCTTTGGGTGATTATGTGTATTTTTTTCCACAGAGTCATTTGTTAATGGTAATTTGGGCTTTATTTTTGATATTTCTGGAGTGCACTTCATGGATTATGTGTATTCATATCAAATCAGAAGTTAAGCATATTGAATAAGCTGCACAATCATTATAAGTATACAGGTATTAAATATTCTGCACATGTCCATTCACAAGAAGTAATTGTAAAGTATAATGTAATTTGACTAATGTTTTTCTCATACTTTTGATACGACTTGTAACTTATGTCTTTCAGAAAGACAGTCGATGTGTCTGTATGCTTTTTTTGTACCAGTGATTGTACATATTTGTTATATTTTTGTTGAACAGATGGTAGAAGATGTACTGTTTATTCTGAATCCATTAAAATGAAGTTGTAAACTAATAAATAATGATGTCTGACCAGAACCTGGTTTATTTAATAATGTATTTCTTTTGTTAAAAAGGTTGGACTGTATGGATTTGGCCCACATACTTGTTACCTTAAAAGATAACAAAAAATAATTACCTTAACATTTGGTACGGCACCTTTCACATCAGGAGAGTGTCCCAAAGCGCTTCACAGGATATATTGTAAAGTGCAGGGACTGTGTCTTGTGGGCAGACACGGCAGCCAATGTCGCAGAAACATCCTGTTGCAATGCAGCGAAATGTCTCAGTGCTGTATCTACAAGCTGTGTCCGCTTGTAAAACCTGTCCACTGACTGTCTCTTACCACTGCCTACGTTTTACAGGTCAGTTCCTGAAATGCGGCAATGGGGATGCAATTAAACAAAACTACTGAGAGTGCACTAATGCACAAGGTGTATAATATACATTCAAACACTAGAGTGGATTTTCTACCTTCGGTCACAGGACCTTGCTCACGCTAATGGGGCTGATCCCAGTCATAAATATTCATCTTGTTTTTAAAATCCACAATGGAGCATCTAAATCCTTATAATGGACAAAATCAAAGATTGAACCACAAACATCAGAGCTCCTTAGCAACAGCCGCACCGAGTGAATTGTCAATGTTTTAATTAACATGTGATAATTGAATTTTAGATATTGAACTAATTTTATCTCGGATTAAATTGTCACTGATTGCCTTTTATGATAATACAATAATGATAATCCTTGCATTTGATATAGCGCCTTATCACGTCTTCGAGACGTCTCAAAAGCACTTCACAGAATACACTGTAAAGTGTAGTGACTGTGTATTTTGTAGGTGAGACACAGCCAGCAGCCAATTGCGCACAGCAGTGTCCCACAAACAGCCGTGGATGAAGTGACCATGTGTAAAAAAATAACATTTTAAGGGATTATTCCATAGTAGGATAGGATGTACCATGACAATGTAACAAGAGGACATAGGTTTAGAGTCGTAAGAGGGCAATTTCAGCACAGAAACCAGGAAGGTTTTTGTTTCATAGAAGCTAATCAACAACTGGAAGAGGTTGCCAGGAAGGGTGGAGGATTCTTGCATGTGCTATGTTGTCAAACACCAGTACAAGTCTAGATATACTACATCATATGACTTCCTACAGTCAATTTGGGCTGCCAGCTCAAAAAGGCTATGAGATTGGTCAGACAAGATCTATCCTTTTGAATTAGCTGACATCAATTAGGTTGTGAACCACGTTTCAAGGTGGCAAGGTGCTACATCAAATGCGATAATTGTTTAATTTTAAAGAGACTGGCTGTTTATTTGGCAATAAATTACATTACTATCACACCCCAGATACACGAGATGAGGCAATGCACAGAAATATCAACCGAACCAACTCTTAATTGGAATTCAATATTTTATGTTTCCAAAACAGAACTTTGTTGCATTGTGAAGCCACTGACATGGTGGGCAGACAATTTGATTATTCAAAACACGCTGACAAATAATAAGCTCAAATTGATTATTAAAAAAAAGAGGAAAAGGGGGTCCAACGACTATTTTCGATTCTTTGCGAATTCGCTCCTGTGCAGTTGAACCACAATGAATCCTCTTGACGTTTGGTAGTGTTTTACAGTATGAAATACCCTTCTCTGGGAAAGTGCCATAGGATGTTAACGTCCAACATAATGAGCAGGGGGGGGACCTTGGTTTAACGTCACAGCTGTTGAGACGTCTCACAATTTTGAAGCAGCTCACGATGATCCAGTACGCCCCGAGGAAAGTCATAAAGTGTCAGCCTGGATTGTGAGTTCCAAGGTCCCAACGTAGGGTTTGAACGCACGATCTTCTGAGAGCGTGAGCTCGGGTGATCCCTGCCTTGTAGTTTGTCAAATGATTCCAGCATTTCGGAATCTGGGTCACCTTTTGAATGTGGAACAGCTCACGTACACAAGAAAAAACCTGTCAATTCTGGTGTTGATGTGTCAGTGTGAATGGAGTGTGAGCGCATGTCACAGTGATCGAATAGTGCTCCGATTTCGCAAGAAATTGTGAACGCGTTTAACCATTCGTTGCAGGGGATATTACTCCGGTTTTCTGTGAAACCTGACAACACAACGGTAACAATATTCGCAGGCATTTGACCAAAATTGTGAGGAAATATCGGTAACATGTTCACAGCATCAGCACAGATCGCTGTGGGATTCGAAATGAAGTGTAAGTGAAATGACAGCATCCACCATTAATATTTTTACATCTGCCTCCCAGTCACCTCAACGTGATTTTGAACCCCCTCGACGACATCTAGACATTTCATGATGAATGGCTAACTTATTGACAGAATCACACCAGTAATCCAAACCATTCAGCACAGAAGAAAGCTCATCATTTCTGCTTAGTCTCACTCCACAGCATAGCTTTACCCTTTCAGATGTTTTCCCCAGATGTTTTGAGTGTCGGCCTGGCTCGGTGAGTCAGCAGGTTGCGAGCTCAAGCCCCTACATCGAGACTTTTGATTTCATATTCCAGGCTGACACCCCAGTGCCAGTTGAACTGGCTCCAAGGTGACGTGGTTGGCACCCGAATACGGGAATCGAGTCAATCCTCAGTGATTGTCAAATGCACGCGTTATCAAAAGCGAATGCAAAGATTATTATAATCCTCTGGTGGTCTCAGGAATCCAGTTCGTCAGCCTGGCAGATCAGTATTTCCAGGGCACTGCTGATGGCAGACCGGCCAACCTGCCTCCTCAACAGGTCTTTGGATTCTCCCAGATTTAGAGCAAGGATTCTCCCCCAATCAGCTCTCGTTCACCCTGCCGGTCAATGCCCAGCTGGGGGCGATGGTCCTAGCTGGACAAGCAGCGTAAAGCTTGTCAGACAGTTTACGGTTTAAGGTGGTTAAACTCCAGCAGTACCCAATGCACACTCTGGGGTTCAAAGACTCTTAATAATTAGGTAAGCGGGGTGTGTCCCACCACGGAGAGATGCATATTCCATGACAGACGTGGAAATCTCCACATGTAGGTGACATACATATATGGATAAACCAAAAAAAGACATCTGATCAAGCAGTTGGGATCTCAGTTTATTATCACTTCGAACAATGCGGCTCTGTATCAGAATGTCAGCCGAGAGCCCTCTGGATTATGAGCTCAAAGTCTCAACGAAGAGCTTGAATACCACAACCTATCTCAATTAAGATAAAACATTTCACAAGGATTAGTAATTTTTCCTTTTTCACCAGAGGCCTTGGATTCATTAAATCCCATATATATATATATATTTTTCACTCTTTAATTTGTCATTTTGATAGATTTTGATCTATGAATTTGATTTTAATCAGTCCATGCATTCGACTGTTCGTAAACTCACCAAGACTTCGATCCTTTAACCTTTCGAACAGTTAATCAATGAATCAGGGGCAAAAAATTAAGATTAATAAATTGCAAATTTTGTCGTATTAAATATGGATTATTATGAGACAGAACATAGTGATCTTCACTGCAATTGTTTACAGGAAGTCATGGGAATGTTACACAAATCCAATCAAGCTTGACTTATATACGCCCTAAATTTTCTACTGATTTGATAAATGGTTTAATAAAGTTTATTGCTCTCCTGATGTTCATAAAATAAATTACTATAGAGAAACAATGTCCAGCTGTAAACAGGAAATATGTAATATTATTTTGATAGATTAATTTGGACTGAAATAGATCAGAGAATTAATACGAGGCTCTAATTGGCAGAATATTATATTCCTATTTCTGTTTACCTATAACTAATATAAGGACATATATATCTGAAAAGAATTTCTGATAGTAGATTGAAGCTTACATAAAATATTTCATTTCCATATTTAATTTCTCGTTCAAAGTATATTACATTGATTCCTTCGCCCACCCAGGTTTCCCGAGGCACACATATTTATAGATTGTGCAAAATTGCCCTCATCGAATCTGATATCTCCTCTTTTGATATTCCAGCATCCATTTGAACCACGCCTTGTGTCTCAGCTACTTTACGTCCATCCACTTTTTAAATATTATTGCCGTATAATATTTTGTTCCAGTAAATAGATGTGTTTCGCACCTTCCTCTGGAATTGTTCCTTGTCCCTTTCCATAAGTAAACCTAAACCTAATGATATTATAAACACCGTTATCCAGATGCTCTCTCACTGCTACACACTCCACTTGCTCCCATTATCGCTATTCCATCACTTGATTTTCATAGTTTGTGCATTGGCATTCACACAAAAAAAAACACTCTTAAGCGCGATGATTTGTGTACTGCTGGTATCAGGTCATTGCAGGTTATTGACCGTAGAGGAAAAGATGCCAAGACCGAGCGATGAAGGTGAATGGGTCAAATCATCTGTCCGTCCGCGATCATATGCTTTATTTTCTATGTTCTTATGAAACCAATGTTTTGTTTAAATGCTAAGATGGAACGTAAATGCAATGCTGAATCACACCAGCGAGTGGCGCAGGTGCTACATAAGACATTTACAGTTCATTCATAAAGCACCATATAAAATATTCAGGAATCAATAAAATATATTAATTCAGTCACACTGCAATGCTCAATGTACAGCCAAACAAATCGTTTGGTGAGTTGCAGTTGTTTTTCTCTCTCTTTGCTGACATATACCTAATAAAATGCTGATTCAGACCACAATCATCTGAAAGCAGTTTAAGAATAATTAATTTTTTTAAAAAAAAACTCCAAATACGTGAATGCTAATGCAAAGGACTGTTTAATGATAAAGAGACAGAGACGGATCGAGAGTAAGGAGGTGGTGTTGGGTAAGAGAGAAGGATCACAATGAGTAATGATGATTACTTCTAGAAGCAACTCTGAGAACGTGATGAAATTCTCAATTATTTTCAAAGAGGGTGATACGAGCAGTGCAAAAAAAAAAGGGGTTGGTGAAGGGCTAATACAGTTTGTAACATGCTACATCCTAAACATCTTCAGGTGAGATTAAACCAAAGCTCTGTCTTCCTGTCCAGGTGAGCATTAAAGATCTCA